AGAAGTGCCGAGAAATGACCCGAAAATAGGGCACATCGGCAGTGTCTCTCGAATAATTAAATATAATAGTAAATAACAGAATGGATGTAGATTTACCCCATCTGCTGAAGTCATGCAAAGAAATTATTTCATCACAGGCTGGGAAGGCGTGGAAAAATCGGCAATCTCTAGAACAGATTCGTTCTCCACAATTTAAAACCTGCCAGGCCAGCAGGCTTGGTTTCCCCAGCTGGCTCAGTCTGCAACCTGGAGTCTGATCCCAGGCTTTGTGGGGCCGTGTGGCCTCTGTAGCTCCCGCACAATCTGCCCTTTTAGCATTAAAGATACCCAAGATGCTGGTCCTCGCGCGGCCCCCCTCCCCATTCATGACTCCAGTAGAAGCTCTGAAGTTAGCGATTCATTTGAGACATCTCATCTGTTAGGCTCTCTTCTCTTGAGAGCACAGCCAAACACTAATAAAAGTACTGACCGCTAGGAGAACGGTGGGGCCATTCAAGAGGTCAGGACTGTAAAGAGATTTCAGAGTCCTGGGTGACCAGTTTATTAGAAAATTACTCCAGAAAGGATTAGAAAATGTCTTAAGCTGCTTACAATATTTTTAGGAACTAGGGTGAGAAGATGCTATTTGTGTGCAAAATAATCCCATAAAGGAATTACCTTTTTTTTTTCTTTAAAACCTCCCATTTATATAATGACATCTTGTAGCCAGCTGCCTTTACCCATCTGGCAACTTAAAGATTTCCTTTTAGTTTCTTTGATATAGAAATTACTTACCATTAGGTCCGCCACTGGGCCTGTTTAATTGGTATTAAAAGAAAGCACCTCCATTGCCAGATCTGTGGTTTGTCACGGAGACTGTGAGTGACCAGCAAACCTCGGCCCCTGGAGTAGCAGAGAGGATGCAATTACCTTTCTGTGTTCTCCAGAGGCTTTAGGGGCTCAATTTATGAAAAGGATAACTAGCTCGTTGCTATTTCATGTGTGAAATTTTAATGAATTACTGGCAGTCTTATGGTTTTCTTTCTTTCTTATTTTTTTGAAAAAACAAAAAAACCAAAAAGCCTGTTTTAAAATTTTTAACTAATAACCCTAACGAGTATTTTTGATTAGTCTGTCATTCTTGTTTATTGCAATTGATGGATTTTTACTTTTTGTAGAAACACTATTTATGCCCTCGGGAGGTTTTCATTTTATAATTAAAATGCTCTGCAAAGCTTGTAGGTGTGCTCCAAGTGAATGCTCCTGTGTACACACAAATCTTTTTAGTCCTTAAAGGCAATTACATCTGACAATAGGAAATGCCAGAATGCTTATTTAAAAAAGGGAAAGGTTTCCAGTGGGAGTGGGGGGAGCTTTCATTGTAGAAAATCAGATGCTTTACAGTATTATAAGCTCTTTCCCTATAGACAGCAGGTATAAAGCCTCAGGGCATGAACCAAGAAAAATTTGCTTTTAATGCAAAAAGGGGAATAAAAATGAAAATAGATGCACCTCTTCATTTGGTGGTGGTCCTTTTCCGGTCTTCCCCTCCCCCCTTTCCCCACCCACACCAGATTTTACAACATTTTTTTCCCTCCAGTGTTTGTTTGCAGCTGTCTGCCTTGTTACAATCAGTTGTTCCGTAATCACCTCATGGGGGCTTCTCTGGAGACTCAGTCCGCTGCAGTGCAGGGAATAGTCTCGATTAACGTGGTGAGATTGCCATGGAGACAGATTGCCTAGTGTCAGGTCTCGCATAGTGTTGGGAATTTACAATCCCCAGACGTGTTTATGAGCTGGACAGTGTAGTTAGCAGGGACGCTTCTGGAAGTCATTTCCTCGGTCCTTTGAAGGGTAGCAGTGTTTGGGAAAACCAGCTCTTGGTTCCTCTCTGGGCAGGAGCTGTGCTCTCCCACAGATGCCCGCTGCTTTTGTTCCAGCTTGTTGCTGCTTTGTTCTCGGGCTGAACGGCTGTTGTAAAAAATAATCCTGACTGCCCGACCTTTGGAATATAAACTGGGAAGAGCTCCTTGTTTGGATGTCGCTTTGTAGGTGACATGTTGATGCTTTGATTCGTAGAATTGCTTAAGAGAAACCAGAAAGTCTGCTATAGGTTTCAAATATTGTTTTAGTAATAATATAAATAAACCTGAAGGGGACTTGTGTGGCTACATTGTGTTTTATTTTGGAACTGAGTACAACCACAAAGGTATTATGAAGACCTCAGGAACAATAATCTCAGAATAAATAAAAATATCTGCACAGCCTGAAGAGTTGACAGTTTGTTAGGGAGAGGGCAGGGTAAGAGATGGACCTTAAAAGATAATACCTTTGTGTTTTTTTACATATACTACGGTAATTAAATCTCTAAAACAATGCTGTGTTAAAGGCATTATTATTACTGTTTTTTCCTTTACAAAAAAGCAAACCAAGAGGTGAAACAGGAGATGGGCTTGTGATTAATTAGATCCGCTAAAATGTGTGGTGTGGCTTGGCGTCCTGCCATAGCGCTGGGGATGTTAATGCGGTCTGCTGATCACTTTCAGGGTGCCTTGTAGCAGTGTTGGCTGGCTTGATGAACCGCGCTATCCTTGGGCAACTGTGGTACTCAGTGACGCTGTGATTCCTCAGCGGGACAAGAGGGCAGATTTAGGATCACTTGCTGCTGGTTATAGGGTTCATCCCTGGGCTCCTTAGCTCCCTCAGCCTCGTGGTGGCCCTGGCTCTCAGCCATGTGGAACCAAGGAACACGGGGACTAGGTCTCTTCCAGCTGTGTTTGTATCTCACCTCTGTACTTGGGGCAAGTTGGTGTAGGATAATAGAACCATGTTCTGCCTGGTTTCTGGTCTACTACCATTATGAATTTCACCTTCATCATGCTTAAGCTCCAAGATTAAGTTCATGCCGCACTGCATTGCCCTGTTCACAAAGTTCAGAAGGTAGCGCTGAAAAATTAGAGATATGCTCATAACCCAAATAGGGGAAAGATCCATGAAAATGTTCGTGGAGGATTTCTCTAGAGAAGGAACAGAATTGAGGGGTAGGGGTTCAGGGCCTTTCAGTTTTTGTGTATGTAATCTGTGGTTAGAACAAGATAGCTATATATATTTAAGCAAAAAAAAAAAAATCCTTGGGAACTAGAATATGGTACTGCTTTTATAGCCTGTGGATTTAGCAGGCCGTAGAGAATATAGATCCTTTAATTGGAAGAAATCCAGTCTGCACACTAAGGTCGCTGACAGATGTTTTAAACCAGGAATTGGAACTGAATGAAATATTGATTTGGTTCAGGTTCAGTTCAAAGGCTACTCTGATATTCTGGTTTTGTTTCAGGTCAATAATTTTAGAAAAAGCGTAGGTACAGTACAGTCTAGTTGAGCTTCAGAAGAAAAAAGGGTTGGCTCAGCCTTCTATTCAGCAAAGGAATACTTTATTCCAGGTTTTGCTTCAAATGGAACTGTGATGCAAAAATGAAATCACTGGATGTTAATTTTATTTGACAGGGAAGCCTTCCTGCCATTTTGTAATTATCAGGTGAGATCATGAAATCTGGAGCAGCAAAGCTAACCCGTCACAAAGTGTTTTGTTTATATTGAGATAAATGTGTACAGTTTCAGGTGGCTTCCTTGAAGCATGATACATACTGTTAATGAAGCCACAGACGAGGGGATCCGGGTTGTTTGTTTGTTTCAGAAATTCCCTTTGTCTTAGAGCAGTTTTCCTGGGGACTTTCCACAAAACGCGTTTTATGGGCTGAGAACTGGGTGAGGCTTGGGATGTCGCAGACATTCACTGAGGGCAGCAAACGGAGTATGAAGTTGATGGTAAACATTGTGATGGAAAAAGCGTATTTGGTTTTGGTTTGCTTTCCAAAATGATGTTTGAGAGACTCAGTTGGGCCACATGGTTTTCACAGACTCCTTTTAAAGCAGTCTGTTTTCACAAGGTGATTTTCTTGCTGGGGCTAGGCTACCGACCAGCCTGAGACCTTCGCTTTTGCCCCTCAGTTTGAACAGTCAAGTTTGGTAATGCTGCCTTCCAAGGCCTTGACAAGCACCGCTCCGCAGACCGAGAACTGGTATGTGCTGGTCTGCAAACTGAGAGGTGGTATGCAGGGTCTCTGCACCGCATTCTGGGTTGGCTGCTTTTTCTTTCCTGGGTCTACTTGACATCATAAGAAATGATTCTATTTGAACTCTCCAGTTGAGCCAATTAATTCTGCCCTCCTAGGGGAGAGGATGGTAGTAGAATGTGTTTTTGTGCTATGTCTGTCGGAGCTCCTGGGTCCAGGGCTATCCTGGTTTTCTCCTTGAGATTTGGAGACCCTCAGATTCAGAGGATTAGGGCCCTGCAGTGTTCTCTTTGGTAGTGGTGAATTTCCTTGATTTGGCTGTTTCTCCTAATGAAACAGTAACCTAATTAATTGGTAATTAGAATGCCTCAGAAGTCTGTTTCCCTGGGAGTCAACTGCTAGATAGAATATGATTATAGTAAAACCCCAGAATATTCCCCAACACAAGGAAAATGTACACAAAAAATTCTGGATGTCACTGCAAGCTGTATTAGTTAAGAGGGGTTGATGGAGGGGCTCCTGGGTGGCTCAGTTGTTAAGCATCTGCCTTCAGCTCAGGTCATGATCACAGGGTCCTGGGATCGAGCCTCGCATTGGGCTCCCAGGGAGTCTGCTTCTCCCTCTCCTCTGTATCCATGTTCTCTCTCCCTATCTCTCTCTCTCTCTGGGGGTGGGGGTTGGGGAGGAAGAGTGGTTGGTGGAAGCCGTGTACTTAAGTGATGCATCATGAGAGAGGGAGTATTACATAGCCCTCTTCTTCCTTAGACTAGTTTTGGTCAGTTAACTACAACCTTTCTTGTCAAATAGAGAGAACACAAGCTCCAACTCTCTACAACAGCTCTGATTGTGTCCTCTGTGTCTTTGCATGGGAGTGGCTATTTTTGGAACTCTTCCTGTAGAGTTACTTGCTGAATTTCTTCAATCTCCAAATCCTCTTGTGCTTTGCAGGAGAAGCTGTGCCCGAGGATGAACAGATCAGTGCTAAGGACCAGAAGACCCTGGAGCCCTGTGACAACACCCCCATCATAGACAATATTGCTCCTGTTGTCGCTGGCATCTCTGCAGAGGAGAAGGAGAAGTACGATGAGGAGATCTCCAGTCTCTACAGACAGCTGGATGATAAGGTCTGTAGCCCGAGATTATAGTCCTCACTCTGGCTCTGAGACTAAAGGTGGCAGGTTCTAGACCTATTGGCCAGAAGCAGCTTCAAGCCCCACGGGGCTGATGTAGAGGGGTGCAGACTGATGTTATGTCTGTCTTCCTAATATCTACCCTAACTTTTGATTGGGCAGACTCGGGGAACTTGATTCTTCCGGAATGGAAGCTTTCATGGAAGTTTGATTGGAAGACTGAAGAGTTGGTCTAGATAGAGAGATAGTCTTCACTTCTAGATGTGGGACTGGGGCTCATCACTGGGTGTGAGTGGGGGTGGCGAGAGTGTGTCTGATCTTTGTTTAATTGTCTCTTCTATTTTTCTCTGGGCCTGTTCCTCACCTCTTGAAAACTTCAAAGAGTAGTGCCGGCTGTAGCGACAGTGTGGTGGCTCCTAATGTTAAATGTGTTCTGTAATCATGTGGCTCTCAGGCCCTGGGATGAGGAACCATGGTAGTGGCGTGGGGTCGGACAGCTTGTCCAGTATTGGTAAATCTGTTTTCAGAGGAATACTCTTGAATGAAATAGTTTGAACATGCTGTTAGGGTTGTCTAATTTAATGGCAGACTTTTGGGGCTCAAATAGTCATGTAAATGCCCAAGTTGGACCAAAGGAAAAGAGACCTTGGAGAACACTGTTCATCTCCAGTTAAGGTTGGGCTAGGAATCCTGGAGGCATAGGAAATTAAATTGATGTTTCATGTGACCTTGGCATATTGCCCTTAGAATATTCTAAATCCTTTCAATTCATTTCATCAAGGTTGCTGATATTTTTAGTCTGATTTAATCTTTTTTGCTGTGGTTTGGCTCAGAGTGCTTGGGGACACTTCTGGTTTAGCCGAAACCGCTTTGTTATGTGCCCATTGCCATTAATCTTACAGGCCTGTATATTCTGAGTAAAGCTCGGTCTGCATCACCTTTACAAGCAAAATGTGAAGCAAGTTCTGTTTATCTAGGACTCTGGGAATTTGCATTGTAACCGCAGCGTTAAACTGGGGACACTCCTACCCTTTTGGTAGCCTCTTTAATGAGATATTCACACCTTTGAGAGCTGGGTTAATTGCCCTTAGGCACTTGACATACTGTTATCCTTCCATTTCTAACCAGATATGATTATGCAAAACCTCAAAGTAAGAGAAAAAGGAGATCAATAGTAAGTTAACAGTGTATGCAATTTCTTGATTTCTCCAAAGAAATGCTATTGTTTAAACATACTGCAGTTTTCCTTTTCACTTTAGAAATGATGAGTTCACATTAGTAATCCTCAAAGATTTTTGCATGAGGGATGATAACCTGATTCTACACTTTGTTTTCTATGAATAGACTCCTGCCATGGTTGGAATTGGGATCATTTCCTTTGGTAGCATAAGGAGATTTCATTGATACAAGAGAGACTGTAGAGTCTTCAGTGTCGCTTCTGAAATGTAGTGAGGAGGACTGAGTGATGAGTGAGGAGAATGCCAGGCCTTGGGGATATTCAGGTGGTAGCTGGCAGAGCTGACCCTAGCGTCTCTGCCTCCTGATGACAAGCGTCGGACACTTCCTGTTATGTCATTTTCCTATAGCATGTACTTTGAAGATCCTCTAAAGCACACATTTCGAGGTTAGCATCTGTGGTCTCTCACAGGGGTTGCTGGGATCTGAGAGAGTTCTTAGCCCACACGCCTCAGCCAGGGAGGGCCCCAAAGCTGGTGGTCTGACCCTAGTGACTCTACCCATGGACTGCCTGATTATGTCTCATCAGCTGTCATTCTTATTTGTCTTCCGCTTAAAGGTTCTAGAAGGTACTTCATGCTTCTGACGAGATAGGTAGTTTGGTACCTTTGAGAAAACATGAGTTGAGACAGAGCATCTTCGTAGATTACTGAGTGGTGGAGCTGAAAGTATCAGGTTCCGATGAGAAGCTAGCCCGGGGAGTACGTGACTTGCCCAGTTTATGTCACGTGTAGGTGGCAGAGGTGGAACAAGGCTGTGTATCTTCTGGTTCCCAGGGCTGTGGTCATCCTGTTTTGGTCTTAGTAATTTAGATGAGGAACTTGTCAACCCTAATGAATCTAATTAGAATGTTGTGGGAGAAAGATTGCACAGTCTCCCCCAAGCTGCCCCCTCTGCCCCTCTGTGCTGTCCCTCCAGGGGGTCTCAGGATAGTTACCATCAAAGGCAATACTGTGCGATGGAAAAACATACACTTTAGAGTCAGACCTGTGTCTTAAATGATGCTGGGGCTTGGACTGATGAATGGCCTCACCTGCTGAAGATATTTTTCTCATTTGCAGCTTGGGGCTCCTATCTGTGTTCTCAAAAAGTTGCAGTGGGGATTAAAAGGTTCTAGTGTGTAGCAATTGCTCAATAAGTAGTGGTTTCTTTCTCTTCTGGGTTCTGTTTACTTAAGGGAGAACACCATCCTACGTGGCATGGGGGGGCTGGTGCAGAGGTGGGTTGCAAGCAGAGTTACAAGAAGAGCAAGTTGGTGTTGGCCCTGTTTCTTTCACTTCTCATTTCCTCTAATACTAGAGGAAATATGGAGAGGAATTAAGTGCAAGTAGAAATATGTTGAACCTTATTCCACTAATTACCATTGCAACGAGGACATTTTTTATAATTAAAGGTGGCACGTGACCAAGTGACGGCTCACCATTTCACATGCAAGCAAATTTAAAAACAAGAATATTTTCTGACAAGTGCTTTGAAATCTGTTGTCTGTGGATTAAGAGTCAGCATCAGAGGGAGCATGTTCTAAGGAATGCACTTGAATGTATAGATATAGACTGCACAGCACGTTTTTTTATGGAAGTTTTGAAAACATTTTAAGATTATGGTAGACTATGCTAATTCCTTGGAGAAGTTGCCTTAACAAAGGGTAAGTGTAGTCTTGGAGGTATCTCTGGTATAAGTCATTCATGTCCTTACAATGTAATCCTTGTTCCTCATATCTTTCCCAGATGGGCTGGTGGCCCTTGGTTTCTTACTGTACCTCAAAAATCACTGCACCTGGCTTTTCACCTGTTTAGGGAGGGAGCTGTACCTTCAGGCTTTGAAGCGAACACAGTGTAAGAACAAAGGGCTGGCTTCACCCTTCTGCCTCTCTCCTGATTTGTATCACTTGGAGTTGTTGCTTATGTATCCCAGGGGAAGGGATGGCAGCTCCCTGATGTTAAACTCCTTGAGTCTTTTATGTTAAGATGTTTAATATTTATGTGCCAAGGAACATAAACAAAATTGTTCCTGGTAACTGACATTCTAAGTTTATAAAGTAAAAGAGGAAATATGCCCTACAGAATAGTCTCCTCGTTGTGCAAGTACCATTTTTTGGCAGTTTCACTCAGTGTAATTTCCCTAATTCTCCTGCCAGAAATCGGATTTGGGGAGGAAAGTCATGAGCATTTTGTCAAACCATTAAAGAAACATGGGTGTAAAAAGTTCAGTAGAAACGGGGTTCCCTGAACAGAGAAGAAATAAGGCCAAAAGATGTTCTACACAAAGGAAAATGAGGTAGAGATCCCGTAATCCTGATTTTAGGACTTTCTTGCTCCATGGATCAGTCAGTCCGATTTAAATGTATGCATACACAGGACCAAATAGGCTAGAGAATAGTCCACAGGGTTCTGCAACCCAGACCCTTGAGTTTACCCCTGTAACCTCACCTCTGGAAAAGCCAGAAGGTGTGGTGCAGGATTTTTCTGGGCTGCTGGGAGAACATCTGGGCAGCACCAGGCATGCAGGAGGACCTAAAATACTGAATCTGACTCTGCATTGGGGTTTGGAGCCTAGAAGTGTTACCAAATAGGATTTTTCTCCTGTTTTTAAGGGAGGGGTACGGTGAAGCAAAGTTGTTTTTCTCAGGCCGAGGCTTCACATTTGCATTTGAATTCATGAAAATCTTTGTGGTGAAGGCCGAGTCCCCCTGGTGAAATGCTGTCCTGCCTGCTGCTTTGCCCAAGCTGGGTGGGCAGAGTCCGGGGAGAGGCAGACGCGTTTGGACCAGGCAGGATGAGGCCGGCGGCTCTGGCTTTTGTGGCAGCGACACCTAGTGGCAGGAAATGAGAGTGACGGAAGCAAATGGCCTCTGGGGAGATCATTTCCCACTTTAATGATAGGCCAGAAAGTAAGCATTATCGTTTCTACATCCCCCACTTCCTTGAGTTTTTTTTCGTTTTTTGCTTTTTTAGACTGGCAAGAAAATTAACTTCTAATCAAGTGGGAGACCTGCTCATGCCGAAGATTAATTCTCTAGTGAATGTTCTCCAGTCTCTCTAAGTAAGAGATTTGAAGTGGAAATACTGGTTGCTCCTTCCGATCACATGGCAGCATTCCTGGTCATTGATGTGTTTGACGAGATTTGGAACATGAATATATTACAGTGCAGATGGTTCGAAATTCACTGCCTTATTTTTTGTTAGCGTCTTTGAATTGGGAGTGCTAGCTCCAAAGTCCCTTCCGATTCCCAAACCCTAGATCTTTGATTTCTGGATGAGCAGGAATTTAGTTCAATATGTAGGATATTTTATATCCCAGAATACCCAGTTGTTTCACCTGCTGAGAAAGGTGGGCGCAGAGGAACTTTAACCAAATCAAGAGCCCAGAGCCAGTCTCTCACCTATGAGGAAGCACCACACCATTCCCTTCATCTTATCAGTAAAGCTTACAGCTGGCACTCTGGTATCCGACTGTTGTCGGGAAACCAGGATATCAAAAATGACATAAGTAACCCAAAAACATTAAACATGATGTTTCGTTTCAGGATGATGAAATTAACCAGCAGAGCCAGCTGGCTGAAAAGCTAAAGCAACAGATGCTGGATCAGGATGAGGTAAAGAATGCAATAAATTTTTTTTATGAAGTTCTCTTATTACTCTTTGTTGTTGATGTTTGTTCCAGAGATTTAATTTGCAAAGAACTTTTTCAAAAATCATTGAATCATGTGGACATTTCCTGGCAGATTTCCTTTCAGGGCCTGTTTAAAGCTAATTTTTGAAAATAAATACCTGACTTGGTAGAGCTCTGAGGTTTTTGAGAGTGAGTAGCTGGTTGCTACACGTAGTCTTTGAAGAGCAGAGATAAAGGAGTTTGGTGGTTGGGCAAAGGTGATTCTAATTCCTCATACCCAGTGCCCAGCACTCCTGTTGCTTGCTGGTTTAGTTTTTTCCCAGCTTTGAAAACCAGCTGGTTCGGGTCTTTGATATACACTATGTTCTCATACTATCTTGTAGGAATTAAATAACAACAACAACAAAAAAGTAGAGATGGAGGGGAGGGGAAGACAAAGAGGAAGGGGGTCCAAGTGCTCACATAGTATGTGTTTGGTACAGTAAAAAGGAGCCAAATTGTTTTCAGTCTTTCCCTGGATGGCATTAATATCTCTAGTGAGTGTCTTTATTGTGTTGTGTTTTGCCAAGTATTTTACAAATAGGAACCTAAGCAAAGGGTAGATAGCCAATCTGTCGAACATAGATGATTAGCGGTTCTCTTGCTGAGCACCATCGAAGTATTTTTTTTCTCTTTTGTGCTTTAGAGTACTTTCTGCTTTGTTGCTAAACTGCTATGGACTGGATCATATCATATAATTCTAGGTGGCTTGGGTTCATGTCCCCAGTCCCAGCCTTCCCACAGAGCAAATTCTCTCTACAGCCATATATTTTTTCCTCTTTGTTTTCCTTTGTTGCTCCAGGGCAATGATTGTGGCCCTTGTCCAAATACTTCCCTTGGCAGGGAGATCATCTATGCTTTTGCAATCAGATCATTTTACTTTCTAATTTTTATTTTTTTAAAAGACTTTATTTAGGGGGCACCTGGGTGGCTCAGATGGTTGGGCATCTGCCTTCAGCTCAGGTCATGATCTCCAGGTGCTGGTGTCGAGCCCCATATCGGGCTCCCTACTCAGCGGGGAGTCTGCTTCTCTCTCTCCCTCTGCCTCTCCCCTCCGCTTGTGCTCTCTCTCTCTCTCAAATAAATAAATAAAATCTTAAAAAAAAATAAAAAATAAAAAACTTTATTTGACACAGAGAGAAAGAGATCACAAGTAGGCAAAGCAGCAGGCAGAGGGGGAAGCAGAATCCCTGCTGAGCAAGAAGCCCGCTGTGGGACTAAATCCCAGGACCCCGAAATCATGACCTGAGCCGAAAGCAGAGGCTTAACCCACTGAACCACCTGGGCGCCCCAGAGCAGTCATTTTAAACTGATTTTTCTTTTAGCTTTGGTTGGGTCTTCCATCTGCTTAATGTTTCCTGCCTTCTTCCTCTCATTCTATGCCTTTGCATCTCTAACTTGGTACAACTGCCAAGATAAACTTACTTTATGTAACAGTTAAAACTCAATATTTTTTTTTCTATATTGCCAATTTTACATAGGAAAGTCAGAAAATACAATAGGCAGGAAGATCATGAAAACGTCCACAAGCCTAGTCATTCACATTTAACTAATGTTAATGTTTGGGATATATCCTTCCATACATTCAAGATAAATATAAAGAGAAGTTGACAGTTGTCCTTGTATGCTGTTTTGGTTGACTGTGTGGAGTAATGATAATGTTAACAGCCATGCAAGTATTACCGTTGTCCTCCGGGGTGACTCCGCTCATTCTTTGTTCAGCATTTGGAAGAGCCAGCAGCAGCAGAGTGTAGAAATTTTTTTTTAAAGATTTATTTATTTATTTATTTGACAGACAGAGATCACAAGTAGGCAGAGAGGCAGGCAGAGAGAGAGAGAGGGGAAGCAGGCTCCCCGCTGAGGGGCTCAATCCCAGGACCCTGGGATCATGACCTGAGCCGAAGGCAGAGGCTTTTAACCCACTGAGCCATCCAGGTGCCCCAGAAATTTTTGATTTGTAATCAATTCTTTGAGTTCAGCCTATGCAGCTTTAAACTTAAATAAAAAAATAAATAAATAAATAAAAATTAAAGAAAAAGAAAGATTTTTGAAACCTCATGCTATTTTTTAAAAATTATAATCTAGATAAACAGTAGGATTTCTAGTCATGCTGAGCATGCTGTATCTGCTTTTTTGGAGAGCGCGTGAGGGGCAGGGAGAGGGGGGAGGGCAAAGGGAGAAAGAGAATCTTAAGTAGGCTCCGCGCTCAGTGTGGAGCCCGACACAGGGCTCAGTATCATGACCTGAGCCAGACTGAGTCTTGAGGCTTCACCAACGGAACCACCCAGGAGCCCTCCCCCACACCACCTACCCCCACCCGTATCTGTTTTTAAAATCACTTTATTTGGGATAGAACACAGCACAGAAACGCTTGAACATTACGTTCATCAGTTCCATGTCATCTCATTTCCCCAGCTTTTGGCTTCCACAAGAAGAGACTACGAGAAGATCCAGGAAGAGCTGACACGTCTCCAGATTGAGAATGAGGCAGCCAAAGATGAAGTGAAGGAAGTTCTCCAGGCCCTGGAAGAGCTGGCTGTCAATTACGACCAGAAGTCACAGGAAGTAGAGGACAAGACCAGGGCCAATGAGCAGCTGACAGATGAGCTGGCCCAGAAAACGGTTGGAGCATTTGCCTCTGGGGGCGGGACTCTGGGCCGCTGCTCCTGTACTCGATGTTGACGTCTGTTGACAGACACTGTATAGGAAGGCAGCTGGCAGGGTGGTTATTCAGTGTCAGAGGCATTCTCTGAAATCTTCCAATAACTGAAATACCTCACGTAGGTGACTTTTGTCACTTGTTCCGGAACTGGGGATTGTTTTCTTTCCAGGAGTTTTATAACCTTAGCAGGGATGCTTTGTGAATAGTCAAGAGAGTGCAGAACTTAGGAGCCACAAAAATCCTAGCTAACATTGTGACTTTACAACTATGAGACCTTAATTGAGACGTTTAAACTTTGTGAGTATTCATTCCCTTATCTGTAAAAAATGGCATTAATAACAGGCCCCTTTCAATACGTGAGAATTAGAGAACGTTGATATAAAGCACTCAGTGAAGGCCTGTGCCTATGCTACAATACCAATAAATTCATCACAGGTATTATAGTAACAAATGTGCGTGGGTGACCGATGGAAGGTCTGGATTGCCCTTCTTGTTTACAACCTCCTGAATAAACCCATTCCTTCCCCATGACTTCCGGCCGCAGCCAGGAACTGATGGTCCTGGTTGGGAGCTGGTGCTCCCAGGCAAAGACACTGCCCGCTGTGTGCAGTGAGCTAGCAGCCCCCCAGGGCCAGCGCGCATTTGGTGAGGTGGCTGATGGTGTGATGTTTCCATTTTGTCCTTTTCTGCTTGGAAAATAGGTGGTAGGAAGCCGAATGGCTGTAACCGGCTGCCCTTGGCACCTCGGCCCAATGGCCTGGTATCATGGGACTGTGCCCAGCTTGCCTCGTGGAAAACATCCAGTCCTCCCGGGCCACGAGTAGCAGATGGTGCTGGAGAGTGCTCAGCTGCTGACCGTAGAGCCGACGGGAAATGCTCCGAACTCTGTAATCACCTGCACGAAGGAAGGCTTTTTAAAGGGCTTCCCAAGATGGAAACTACTGCTTCCGTAGGCTTTAAAAACGGAACAAAATAAGCGGTAGCAATGCCAAAGCAAAACCAAAAAGAAGCAGAAAAACAAACCAGAAGTCACCTAGGAAAGGAGACTTCGGTTTTCTCTGCTTACTGTTTTCTGCCGGATCCTTTAATGAGTCTTTCATTTTAGTTGCATCTCAAAACAGTGACACATTTTCCCTAATACAGTTCTTATTTTCTGCCAAGCCCAAGTATCACTAGACTGGTTTAGAGTACTGTTTCTAGCCAGACCATGGGAAAGGGTGCTAGTATAATAGCCGTGATGGCAGACTTGCCTGTGTGTCTTTGCCTGCAGCTCCACAGCTCGGTACTGCAGCAAAATTATTTTCTTTGTTGGCCGAGTGAGTACCAAGACACCAAAGCACAGCTATTCCTCTCATGTGAGGAGTTCATCAAGTTAGTTGTAAATCTCTACCTTTGGGTAACGTACGTGAGAGACGGAAAAGAGATGGGTGTTGATGTTTGGCGGTAAAATGGAGCTACTGCCCTATGTTAAGATGGAGACTCTCAGCCAGTTTTGAGAATAGACGAAGCGTGTTCAATTCGGCATCACCGGGAAGGTCACAAGACTTTTTAGAAGTTGTTTTCTAAACTCATGAATGGCTCTCTCTGGGCCTTCCTGACCTGTCTATTATTACGAAGTCAGATGGGAACTTTTGGAAATGGTCCAGGGAGGAGGTTTGCTTGGATGTGGAAATGGAGACAACATGCAGGTGGGGACGCTTGGGACCATGGGGACTGAAGCAGAACATGTCGAGGGTAGGAAGATGCATTCACGCCTTGTCAACCTGAGGGCTCCTTTTGGACTCTAGTTTTAAAAACATTTCACCGACCTGCAAATTGTCATGGGATATGTAGACATAACCTATCAGGCCAAGGCCAAGTCTCCTTTTAATCAAAGAAGGCGGTGCTATACTCTAGTTTGACTTAATAGGACTCCTTTGTTGAAAGTGCTTGAAATGATAAAAGAACTCCATCATGTGTTATTTCGTTATTCTTTGCAATGCAGCGGGTATGAATTGATGGGCAGCTCTTTTAATTTGCTGTTAAAATGTGTTTTTCAGACGACATTGACAACCACACAGAGGGAGCTGAGCCAGCTACAAGAGCTTAGCAACCACCAGAAGAAGAGGGCTACGGAGATCCTGAATTTGCTGTTGAAGGACCTGGGGGAGATAGGCGGAATTATCGGCACCAATGATGTGAAGACTGTAAGCCAGCTCCTCTTTTATCTTGTCTACCTGCTCCTATAATGGTGGGCCCCTAAGCAAGCAGGGTCTGTGTTTTATTATCCTAAGTATCCAATACTCAGCGTAGTGCTTTGCACCTGCCACATGCTTGGTAATACTGGAATGAACAAACCAAGGGCCGATTGAATGACTAAGTGAATGATTGGCTGGGTTTGGGAGAGGAGAAAAAATTACCTTTCACGTGCAGGAAACGTCTTCAAATGTTGGTGATCCTTATGCAGATGGGGTTATTTCTCTAACTTACATGCCAATGTCACAGGAGTTTGGAATTGGATAGGTTAAGCAATACTTCTAGTCTCAGAACTGTGTTTCTCTTTTTCTGTGAGAACCCAACAGAATGAAAATTCCCCAGCCAATCAATATGAATTAGGAAAGCTTTCAGGTGAAAGTAATAGGATTCTAACAGTGGCTTAAAAATAAATCCACATTTAATTATTCACAATATGAGAATTTTGTGTAGAATTTGCTATTCGGGTTGTGATCTGCATCACCTGGGAGTTTGTTGGAAGTATAGACTCTCGGGCCACTGCAGGCCTATTGAAATTAGAATCTGCATTTTAACAAGATGGCCCAGGTCAGTCTAACCTTATTCAAGTTTCAGAAGCAAATTTTGATCCACTGTCCCAACGATGTCAAGGATTCAGGCCTTTTCTTTATTTCCTTTCTGCTTTCATTAGCTTGTTACCTTTTCACATCTGTAGTCTTTTGTCTCATGATGGCAAGATAACTGCTGTCACACCAACCATCATATCTTCACACAAACACATCCAAGGCAGGATGGGCTGAAAAGGCAGCCGGTTCTCATCAGGAGGAAGCTATATCCCATAAGTCCCTAGTAGCTGTCCCCGTATACCTTATTAGCCAGAATTGGGTCACATGGTCACCCCAAATCGCAAGAGAAACTGGGAAAGCAAAGAGAAATAGTATTGCTGTCACTGGCTTCAGCCAATCGTGACTGATCCTCTAGAGTTGTGCACATTGGTGCCACTGGCAGCAAGGAAGTAAGGGAGGCAGGGAGAACGGGGGTGGTATGAAATTGTCTGTGAGCTAGGAATAGAGGGCCAAGAGAGCGTGTAGAATGTTATCAGCCAAGAAAAATTATCAGTCACCTAAGGTAGGGAGACAGAGAGAGCTAAGCTAGAGATATTTTTAAAAATAGCTTTGTTGGGGCACCTGGGTGGCTCAGTGGGTTAAGCCTCTGCCTTCGGCTCAGGTCATGATCCCAGGGTCCTGGGATCGAGCCCCACATCGGGCTCTCTGCTCAGCAGGGAGCCTGCTTCCCTCTCTCTGTGTCTGCCTCTCTGCCTACTTGTGATCTCTGTCAAATAAATAAATAAAAATCTTTAAAAAAAAATAGCTTTGTAAGAGCATAGTCTGAGAAGTTTTGACATATTATACTCTCATTAAACCATTACCACAGTAAGATCATGAACGTATCCATCGCCCCTAACAGTGTATGGGACTGTTTCTGGTCTCTAGTCTATTGTATTGATCTAACTGTTATGCTAAAACCACACTGTTTTGATTCCTGTAGCTTTGTAATCATTACACAGCACCCTTGTACAGTGTAGCCATCGGTACATGTGGCGGATTGTGGCAAGCCACGGAATGGTATTATATCTCTCAACTTCCACTTCCTGAGCTCCTCAAATCAAATTCTTTTGAGGTCAGCCTTTTAAAAGGCTGAGTTTTACATCCGTCTGCTTTGTGGGAACACTTAAGGTTTTGAGCTGGGATTGTTAAGTACTAGAAAAGGCTCCCCCAATTCTTTCTGTTTATAGACATTTCTGGGAAGCCTAGAAATCTCTTCTTAGATAATATCACAGATCGAGTCTTAGAGTATACGACCTCCTATAAGCCTAATCGTTCTTTCATAGAACCTCTATTGTAACTGAATATTTCATGAATCTTTGCGAATGAATCTAATTTTAGCACAGAATTCTTAGATACTATAAGATCAACCCAGTCAGCCCCAATTGGGTGGCTTTATGTTTGGGGATTTAATTTTTAGAAGCATGCGTTGGTACTGAGCTTCCGAGATTTGGGGGATTAAGTGGCCCATGCAATGTGAAGGTGGAGTTGATATAGGAGAAGTTGGTGCTGCTGCTGATAACGATAAAGGAAGATATTTTTATGCTACATTCTAAAATAGAGCTGATAAGAAATGCTAATGAAATCAAGGAGTGTCTGGGTGCTTCAGCATTAAAAAAAGAGTCTTTACCTTTGGGAATCTGAAGTATGATTGAAATTATTTTTAAATATTTAGCTGGATGTTTTCAAGATATTTTTGGATTCCAGACATTGGATGCCTTAGTTAATTTCATTGATAACTAGTTATTTTCATTGACAATTCTCACTCACAGAGCATCATATTCTTAATCATTTTGAGTTTTTTTTTTTTCCACAATTATGATTTAATCGTCAGGGCAATGAGAGCTAATGCGTAGGAGTTGTGTGACTGGGCAATTCACTATACTTCTCAGGCTTCATTTTCCTGATTTGTGCAATGACAAGATGAGCCCACATTATCTTACACGTTGTCAGAAATTGCATGAGTTATACATATATTTCTTAGATCTACATTGTGGGCATAGAGTATTGGTTATGACTACTCAATAGATAGATATAATTCTTTTATCTAAGAAAATGATCAGATCAGGGAGACATTTGTCAGTGACCTTGTTTTTCTTCCTAAAACCCTATTCAGTTCCCACATGGTGACTCCTGGTCATACCCTGGGAAGAGGGGAAAAGATGCCCTCTTTCCAGAATATAACAGGCCCAGACAGCAGGGTAACAGAAGGACCCATATTTCTCCAGTTTTTTCATGTCTTGAAACATTTTCAGAGCCCAGGCAATACTTTGTTTAGTCTACAAAACAAAATGTGACCACCCAATGATGAGATGAGCCTCGAGTTGACTTTCTCTGGGGTTATTAGTGAACTTCCTCTTCTTGTCTTTTTCCTATGTCACCTGGCTTTCTTTAAAACAAAAGTTTCCAGATTCTAGGATAGAAAGTTGAGGTATAGTAAATGAAATGGATTGGATAGCTGCCAGATTTTCTTTTGACTTTGGGTCTGGGTGAAGTACAGGTGAAAAATTTTGGGCAGTTGAGGGGCCCTGGCCCCAGCAGCATTGGGGACATTTCTATAGTTTGGCCAGTGTGGCAGATACATTTCTGCAGATCCTGGGCCTGAAATCAGCCCTCATCACCAACAGCTCACATCCCATCAGCCTCTTCAATACAGTCTTGGTTGTGTTGGGGCTGGGGTCTCACTGCCAAGAAGGCTTGCTTCTCCATTCCCCTCCTGCCTATCAAGCTCTTGGAAGCCACCATATCATGCCTGAGCTCTGTACTGCACAAACAAAATGGACATTTCTGAACACTTAAAAAAAAAAAGAGAACAAAAGGAAAAAAAGGGACTTCTCATCCCATTCTGACTTTTAGGTATTGGAATGGCAACAGTCACCTTACTTACCTTTTACTTGGCCTAGAAATGGCACCTTGTGCAATCACTCCATGCTCCTGAGCCCTGGGGTGGGTGGGTATGGGGGTGACTCCTATGTAGACAGGGTGGGAGGGGCCGGCAGCATTGCCTTCCCACAGAAAGGCAAGGCAGCCTTTTCTCCTGGATTAGTCAGCCCTCCTGGATCACGCAGCTTAGTGTGTGCTGTTGGAGTCATTGTCAAAGCCAGGGGAGAGTTATAAATAACATTTTAGCAACAAACTTGATTCCCCTCTTGAAGTAACAGTTTACTGGGATTACGGAAAATTTTGAGTTTACTTTGAATGACTGAATATATGAACTCCTAAGTGGTTGAGACAAAACAAAAAATCAACAAAAACACGACTTTAAAGTAAAACCATTTGTTCAGAGTACCATTTTGTGTGTGGGGGGGTGTTTCATCAGATTCAAAATCTCCTCTTAGACTTCCTAGGACAAGGGTAGGCTCCAGAAGTTATGGTTCTGGTAGGGGAACAAGCATCCAGCTTGCATTTTGGAGGAAGCCCATTATTGTGTGCTATTTTGCTCTTCCCCAATGCACAGGGATCTGGGCATGGAGTACAAAGTGTCCTTGTCTAAAGACAGAGCTGGAAGGGAGGAGGTGTTTGTTCCCTTCCCCAAATGCCCTACTTGTTGGTCTGGTGGTGTTTTCCCCAGGAGTTGGTGTAGGTTGTAAACCCCACATCAAAGAGTTGGAAGTCACTTATCTTTCCCCAGAGGCCGGGCAAACACATAGGACATACCTGGTGAGCCTAAAGAACAAGCTTCTCCTGTGTGTTCCACGTTGGACCAATCACAAAGGCAGAGGAACAAAACTGCGCTGAAAGATTGGGGGCGTATCTCACCCCTTCTCTTCATGCCATTGGGTTGTAAGCAGGAATGCAATGAGAAACTGTTGGTAGGCAAATCGTTATTGGCAGTCAGAATTAGAAGTGGCTCAGCAAGAACCTTCATTAAAATAGGACTGTGGGTTTTCTTGCTGTTAACATAGGTTCTGCTTTGTGTTGATTTGACACCGGTGTCATTTAACAGATCCTGTTGTGGAGTCCTAGGGGAAGGCTGACACAAAAGTTACAGGCACCCGGTGTGGCCTGGTATACTTCCCATCTGCTACCAATTTTCGGGGTTGATATACGATTCCATATTCCTAGCTCTTAAATTTTTACAGAAAAAAAAAATCTTCATATGATGAGTTAATGACAGCAATAATGACAAAAGTGGGCAGTTATAACGTACTTTGGAACATTAAAACCATATCTGGAATCATTGTCTTAGAACCAATTGAAGCTTTCTGTTTGTGGGCTGGGTACTGGACAGCGCTCTTGTGTTCTCCTGAGGGGCTAGGATGCCCTCTGGTGGTTAAAGAAAATATATGCACGGTTATTTTGCTCCTCTGATTAACTGTCCTTCAGAGCATGTTTGCGTCTTGAGAGCATACGGGTTTCTATCCCAAGTATCTTGCTTCAGGTTTTGTTTCCAGTTGAGCTCTGAAACTGAGATACCAAATATGAGATCATGCAGAAATGCTGGCTTTCAGAATCTTTCTTTCTAAAGGTGGATTTAGATTGTTAAACTCTCAGGTAATTTTATTTATTTATTTGAGAGAGAGCTGGGGGTTGGGGCAGAGTAAGAGGGAGAATGAGTCTCCAGGAGATTCTGCACCGAGCACAGAGGCTGGTCCAGGGTTCCATCCCACAACCCTGAGTTCACGACTTGAGCCGAAACCAAGAGTCAGCTGCCTAACTGACTGAGCCACCCAGGCACCCCACTCAGATAATTTTAAATAATATAAGCTCAATTCTTATCTCCTTGGAAGGGGCAGGCACATAGAGACAGGGAAATATTGATTGATAGTAAACAAAAAGTCATAGGAAAATCTTCAACTAAAAGGGCATTTGGTAACAGCATGTTCTTAATTCAATTTTGTTGTTATTGTTGTTTAACATGGGCAGGCTATGTAGAAAACCCTTTTTATTTCAACCCTTGCTTATAGAAGCATATTCAAGACACTGAATTCATATTCAAGACTCTCTGAATAGGAGACCATAGAGAACAGAATTGAAATTTTTTTTTGTTAAGATTTTATTTATTTATTTGACAGACAGAGATCACAAGTAGTCAGAGAGGAGGAAACAGGCCCCCTGCTGAGCAGAGAGCCCAATGCGGGGCTCGATCCCAGGTCCCCGGGATCATGACCTGAGCCGAAGACAGATGCTTTTACCCACTGAGCCACCCAGGCACCCCAGAATTGAAATTTTGATTTGAATTCTTATAGGGACTCAGAGTCCCCTTTAAAAACACTAGGCCTTGCCGCTATTCTAGAAATGTCAGGCGCTGGACATTGAATGGAATACCTTTTCAGAGTTATCCTTTTTTTAATCTTCTTTAACCCACTGAGCCACCCAGGTGCCTGGGTCCTTTTTTTAATCTTCTTAAGATTAAAAAGAAGTGTATTTTCCCTCTGATATCATGTCTTTCATCTTAAAAAGTAATTGTAGTGAAAACCCGGGCTGATTGAGAACGATATTTAATGGAGGTTTTTAATTCAGTCTTACTTGAGGTTTCAGAAAACTTGGGATATATTTATGTAGTGAATATATAGTAATATAAAGCTATCGTTTTCAGCTTGTGGGCCTATAATTAAGGATTCCTAATCAGAAATCCAAAGACATCTTGAGGATCCATGGACAGATTTTCGGGGCCCCATGAATCTCTGGCATTTGTAAGCAATAGCTGAGCGTATGCCTTCCTGTGCTCAGTTGGCAGACGTGAATGGAGTCATTGAGGAGGAATTCACCATGGCCCGCCTGTATATCAGCAAGATGAAGTCAGAGGTCAAATCCCTGGTGAACCGCAGCAAACAGCTCGAGAATGCCCAGATGGACTCCAACAGGAAGATGAATGCCAGTGAGCGGGAGCTGGCTGCCTGCCAGCTGCTCATTTCCCAGGTAGGTCACCCCTTTCCCCCTCATTTCACTCTCTCGACCTCTTGAAATCTGCTGGCTTGTTGCTCTTACTGGGTCTGATGGTGCATGGTAGGGATAGCTGGTGGACTTTGTTTTATATAAGACTTGTCCACGGCCTCCCCAGACAATTACAGCCCAAGCTTCTGCTTAAGGCTAGACTTTGTTGTGTGAATTACATGAATTACCTTCAGTTCCTTTTAAAGGATGTGTCTACATCTCTCTATCTGTATATGGACATGTAGGTAGGTAGGTAGAGATTATAATGAATGGATGAGATTGGGTGGAAGCTAAAACTCCTATGAGGTAAGGAACATTCCTTCATCTTTTAATCTCTACCACAGGTCCAACTTAATATGTGAAAACAGAAACTATTGCTGCTACTGCTATTATTAGTAATAGGTAACATTTTTATTTTATTTATTTATTTAAAAAAAAAAGATTTTATTTATTTATTTGACAGACAGAGATCACAGGTAGGCAGAGAGGCAGGCAGAGAGAGGAAGAAGCAGGCTTCCTGCCCAGCAGAGAGCCCGACGCGGGGCCCGATCTCAGGACCCTGGGATCATGACCTGAGCCGAAGGCAGAGGCTTTAACCCACTGAGCCACCCAGGTGCCCCAGTAATAGGTAACATTTTTAAAAAAGATTTTATTTGGGACGCCTGGGTGGCTCAGTTGGTTGGACGACCGCCTTCGGCTCGGGTCATGATCCCGGGGTCCTGGGATCGAGTCCCACGTCGGGCTCCCAGCTCCATGGGGAGTCTGCTTCTCCCTCTGACCTTCTCCTCACTCATGCTCTCTCTCGCTGTCTCTCTCTCAAATAAATAAATAAAATCTTTAAAAAAAAAAATTAAAAAAAAAATTAAAAAAAAAAAGATTTTATTTATTTGAGAGAAAGAGCGAGCAAGTGCATGCCCACACAGGTGGGGGAGGAGAAGTGGGTGACAGACAGGCAGACTCCCCGGTGAGCGGGGAGCCCGATGCGGGGCTTGATCCCAGGACCCCAAGATCATGACCTGAGCCAAAGGCAGACGCTTAATCAACTGAGCCATCCAGGGGCCCCACTAGTAGCACGTAACATTTTAGTGAGTGTTTACAAAGCTCCCCACACTGCACTAAGCTCTTCACATGCATCATCTCACTTGATCTTTATTTTTTTTTTTTTTAAAGATTTTATTTATTTATTTGACAGACAGAGATCACAAGTAGGCAGAGAGACAGGCAGAGAGAGAGGAGGAAGCAGGCTCACCGCTGAGCAGAGAACCCGATGCGGGGCTCGATCCCAGGACCCTGGGATCATGACCTGAGCCGAAGGCAGAGGCTTAACCCACTGAGCCACCCAGGGGCCCCTTGATCTTTATTTTTTTTATTTTTATTTTTTTTAAAGATTTTATTTATTTATTTGACAGACAGAGATCACAAGTAGGCAGAGAGGCAGGCAGAGAGAGGAGGAAGCAGGCTCCCTGCTGAGCAGAGAGCCCGATGTGGGGCGCAATCCCAGGACCCTGGGATCATGACCTGAGCCGAAAGCAGAGGCTTTAACCCACTGAGCCACCCAGGTGCCCCTCGCTTGGTCTTTAAAAAAAAAGTCCTGATGGGCAGGTTTTATTATTATTCCTGTTTTTCAGGTGAGGAAGGAGAGACTCAGAAAGATTAAATACACAGTTCAAAATCCCACAGCCAGCAAAAGGCAGATCAGGGTCTCAAACCAAAGCATGTGTGAACACAAAGCCGTGAAGGGATTTTTGAGTCCCAGGCCACATTTCGTCTGCTCAGTGAGTCAGGCCACTCTTCTGCCCACTGAAATGGCGTTTTCATTTTAGTGAGGTGGTTTCAGAAAGCAGCAGCCTCGTTTCTGGTCCGCCACTGATATCTGAGCTTGGTGTTTGGGGCTTGAGACTTCTGGGAGTGTTGCAGTGAGGGCTGCCCACTGCCTCAGACCAGGCATTAAAACAGCTGAAATCATTTGCAGGAAACTAATACTAGCAGGGAGTAGTGTGTCAGATGATACTGAGAGACCGACAAAAGCATACGTCCTTCTGGTAGGCTTGTAAACAGTAACATGTCATCACAGAACCAGCTCCAGCCTTCTCCCCTCCCACTGTAGTAATCTGAGAGATGCAAATGAGCACATCAGGTTTCCATTTTATAACCAGTGCAGTAAGCAAAAATGTACTGTAAAAGATTATCTAGTGTTGGTGTGTGATCGTGAAATTTATACACATTGCTGAGAAAAGTATAATTCGGCCAGTCCTTTTGGAAAGCACTTTGGGAATCAAAAGCCATAAAAATTGAAGTACTTTGGTCCAGTAATTTCATTTATGGTATTTTTCATTGGTAATGAAAATGCAAAAATTTTATTTTATATGTTTATTTCCCGATTAAAATGTGCAAAGCCTGTATGGAAGATGGTGAGTGCGATATTACTTATGTTATAATAACATGAAATACCCTAACATCTGTTGATAAGATAATGACGTTAAGTTACATGAAAGATTGCTATGCGGCTCTTACAAAAATTTATAAAACATTGCCATTTGGAAAGAATGATTATATAAACGTAAGTGAAAATGAAAGTGCTCAGTTATGTGTATGCCGTGCCTTGCAACTCTATCCAGTATGCATTCATACAGTTAAGACCAAGAATAGTTGATAAGTATGGTTTATGGGTGGGGGCACCAGGGTGGTTTGTCGGGTAAATGTCAGACTCTTGATTTTGACTTAGGTCATGATATCAGGGTTGTGGGATGGAGGCCCGCATCAGCTCTGTGCTCAGCACAGAGTCTGCTTGTCCCTCTCCCTCTGCTTCCGCCACCCCCCCCCCCCGTCCCCAACAAAATTTAAAAAAAACAAAAAACAAAAAACACCAAAACTGCTACATGGGTAAAATCTATGCAATTCTTTCTGGATTTGCTTTACTACTTGACATTTTTATAATTTAAAAAATGGGAGAAAATGATAAACCTTAGGGCAGAGTACCGACACCTCAAGTCTGATATCCAGGTCACCTCTTGTATTGGGAATATGTGCATTTGGATAGTCCTGCCCCTAACGTTTGGAGACCAAGGCAAGAGTAGAAACAGAGGTCCCTCCGTCTGCAGCCCACCGTCTTCTCTTTCCATCTGGATGCACCAGCCCTTCTGCCCTTCGTGGAAACTGATAGCACTGTGTAACTGTCAACTCTAATCTGTGTGAATTGATGACAGGAGCTGCAGTGCCAGCCCTAGGAGTGGCCTTTATGGCCACTGGAGCAGGGAGTTCCTGGGTTTCTCGTCCTCAGAGTGTGGTCTGGAAGGGGGCATGGGTTCCATGGGGCATGCCTCCTGGGCCTACATACTCTTTACTCCGTGGAGTGAGTGCAGCCAGAAGACAGCCCTAGTGGGGTGTTCACAGTGTGGGGCCCAGGACTGAGGCTCTAGTTGCCCAAGTCTGACAGTGACATTGACTTTGGGTGTATGAGATCAGAGTCAAGAATATCAGCATATTAGAATGTTAAAGGCTAAATGTGTTAGTGTGTTCTCCATTAGCAACAAATACAGCTTTCTGTTGGGTGCTACTTTGTACCATTACAATTTACACAGAGACAAATATTTAATCATTATTTCTGGGGATTCGAAAGTCAGAGAAACTTTGGCTCTTTACTTTCTGACATGATCTAAAGAATCTGACAAAATATTTCGAGCAAAAATGCAATTATTTTCTTCATTTACACTCATCCTTTTCATCAGAAGCTGTGCTTATAACCTGACTGCACTGTGTCCCATTTCCCAGAGGTTGTTTCACTAGATGAGAGCTCAGTCTCCAGGGTTTTCCTGCTTTCCTGTGAACGCTGTAGATCTTGAGTGGGGGAAGTGCCTACATATATCCGTCTGCTGGAAGGGTGCCCTGTCTTTACTTCAGTCAATGAGCTTCCATTCATTCACTGGTTCCACTAATATTTATTAAGCATCGGCTGGAGCTGGCAAGTAAAAAGAAATAGATAAATCTTGCCGAAGTTGGGTACTGTAAGAAACTGTGAGGACCCCAGTGATAAGGACTCTGGGTGGGGAGGGTGGAGCACGTCCTAGGGAGAGGAAAATGTAAAAATGCAAGGTCTCTCAGACACAGGAATTGGTGTGTTTGAGAGGAAAAGAAAAGACCATATTTGAGTTCTGAAGACAGAACCTAGAGGTGCCAGTTCCAAGAACGAAGCCTCTGCCCTAGACATTTTCCCAGGACACTGTTTTCTATGAGGAGAAAAACCAGCTTGGGCTTTGGCATCTCACTTAGGCGGGTGGTGGGGAGGGCCGTGGTGATGACATGGGTCAGTGCGGAAGGAAGCAGTGGAGCACAGGGAGGAAACAGAGGGCCATGTTAGCCCTCAATCACAGATCTCAAGACGAGGGAAGAATATGCTTTGTTTGGGAGTTGGTCCTCGAAAAACGGACCCAGGAAGGCCTCTGGGGCCGTTTCCCGTCAGACAACTGCAGGCAGGCCGGGTTGCTTGTCCTCATGCCTCCTTTTCATCTTTTTGTTTATTTACAGCATGAAGCCAAGATAAAATCCCTGACAGACTACATGCAGAACATGGAACAGAAGAGGAGGCAGCTGGAGGAGTCCCAGGACTCGCTCAGTGAGGAGCTGGCCAAGCTCCGAGCCCAAGGTAAGTAATTGACTCCTTTGCAGGTGTTGAGCTCTTGGCCTACATCAGATACTCTCTAGTTGGCCAAATCTCACGACGTTTAGTTTTGCTCATTTATAGCATTTCCAGGTCTCCTGAAAAACAATGGAATAATTGAGGGAAGGGGGTGTGGTAAAAAAAAAAAATTAGATAGAATATTGCCCCCACCCGGTATATGCCCCTCTTCCCATTTCCCTCCAACCACCCTGCTGCCTGAGTCAATCTTCTCTCCTCCACCTCTGGCCTCCAGTTTGTTCCCATGACCTGTCCATTTGATCTGCCAGATGCTTGTCTGCTTCTGCTCATCTCCACCTTTATTTTCACTATCCTTAATCTTAATTAAGAGTTGTGACTACATCGTCTACAGAGGCTCTCAGCCCATCTGTTCCAGGCCAGCCACTGTGCTGCTTCTCAGGGAACTCTTCTAAAAGCACCTTCTATCTTGTGCCCAGCCCCATGCCTCTGACCCTTCCATGATGTCCCCCTGCTCTTAATATAAAGTCTGAACTTCTGCCAATGGCTGCCTGCACCCTCCGTCCTTGGAACCAGCTCTTCCCTTTGCCGGACAGACTCCTGATGCCCTTTGCTTAGGGAAGTGCCTGACACATAGGAAGCACTCCAAAGATATGAATAAATAGAAAAAATTCAAGAGAGGTAACTAGAAATGCAGAAACTGGAATAGGTTTTAAGAACATATGCATTGCCGTGAAATGGGACACATGTACCATGAATTGCAATGAAAATTGTTAGAGTTCTTTTAGAAAGCATTTTGAGGATAGGGGCACCTGGGTGGCTCAGTGGGTTAAAGCCTCTACCTTTGGCTCAGGTCATGATCCCAGAACGAGCCCCGCATAGGGCTTTCCGCTCAGCAGGGAGCCTGCTTCCCTTCCTCTCTCTGCCTGCTTGTGATCTCTGTCAAATAAAATCTTTTCTAAAAAAAAAACTTTTTGAGGATAAATAGCAATTATCATAACACTTTCCATACTTTTTGACCCTCAAATCTCAGATATTCGTTGTAGAATTCATTGTATTAGTGGAAGGAAGAAAGGGCAGCCAACCTAAATGTCAAACAGTTAAGCCAGCTATGGGATGTTGTTTAAAAGAACATGTGTTATTTTGGAGGTGAAGTAAGTGCAGGCTGTGCAGCCATGCTTACAAGGTGTCCTTAGATTAAAGATCATAATATGTAATCTTTACTGGGTTATAACATCCAGGAATCAATGGATACTTGTGTTCCAAGGCCGGCAGATTAATATTTGAAATGAAAATTGTTTTGATAGGGTAGTAGGATTGGTGATGATGCCACCTCTTTTTATTTCCTTTATTGTTAATATAGTTACTTGCTCAGTAAATACATTTTGTTCCAAATGTCTAGGCAAATTTAGAAAGATCGAGAACACCCTCAGCCCCGCTATGACCTTGTCATGTTTTCTTTATGTGATAATGGATGAATGTTAGAGATAGCACGCTCCCCGTAATACTTGGCATTGAAAAGAACTTTTCTCTCTCTGGTAAATGGCTTCTGTAGTGGTGCCCTAAGTAGAAATAAAATAGAGGTAAGAAGATCTAAAATAAAGTGGAACAGACTAGATAGAAAGCGTAATGACTTGCATGACACTGTTCTAAACATTTTGCTACCCGCGGCCCCGCTTCCGCCCCCAAGCCTGCTGCTTGCTGGGGGTGCCGGGTGCGTGCCCCTGACCAAGAATAGGCTGGGACAGACTCCCGCTGGAGGTGTGCCATGCACCAAATGTGGGGCCTTCCTTTTTAATATGGAGCCTGTTATTTTTTGTTTTCTTTGTTCTTAGATTTTTTGTTCTTCTGCTCTAGATTCTTTGAGAATAAACAGTGTACTGATGAAAGGTAAATTAGCTCTTTCTGGAACTCTAATAGTGGCATTGCATCCAAATGCCTCTAAACTTCCCAGGGTGCTTTCCAATGTGCAAAGCAGGCTGTTGTATCCTGCCGCAGGGGTGGCTCACCAAGGCCAGGGGAGAGGTCAGACACAGCCCAGTCAGTTCCCTCCTAGAGTGGCCCACTTCCGAGTCAGCACCCTGGCCTGAAGTGGACCCACTGGAGTGGGCAGCCTCCACTGGCCTGAAGTCTCACCTGGGAAGCCTGATCTTGGATAGCGTGGTTGTAATTGGTCATATAAGTTCTGTTTCACTCCATGGCCATTCTTCCTTTTTTTTTTTTTTTTGTCTTTGTCTTTTTAAAAATATGTTTACTTTTGGATGTGAGTCCCGCCAGTTAAATCTTCAATCATCATTTAAAATTCAAAACAGAAAAAATGCACGAAGTCAGCTTCCAGGATAAGGAGAAGGAACATCTGACGCGGCTGCAGGATGCAGAGGAGATGAAGGTGTGTGCGCGGCCCCTGCCCTGGAGCCCAGCGTGCATATGGACTGCGTTTTCTTACTCTAGGAAAATCTGTCTCCTTCAGAGACTTGTGTGGCCATGTAGGAGGGAGGGGGGAGGGACCGGTGCCGGCCGTGGCACAGTGCAGCCTGGCGCAGGACCGAGAGGAAGGTGGAGGTGTCCAGAAGTCCAGTAGTCATGCTGCATTAGTCTGTGCTGCTTCCCTGTTCCTGGGGAAGGGGAGACAGCAGCCCCCCCGGTCACTGTGTGGGCCGCACTGCTCTGCTGAACTGCCAGAACATGTCTTCCCTTGACCTTTTTAAAGAAGCACTCCAGATTTGGATTGCTGTGTACCATAGAGATGTTTATTTTTGGTCACATGTAAAGTGGTGAAGGAAAATGTAGGCAAAATAATTGGGAAAGAAGCTTTGTGGGTGAATAAAATGAGATAGGAAAGGATGTAGGATTTTGATTCATTTAGGCAAACTGCTTGTAAATATGCAGGGTGCCTGGATGGCTCAGTCGTTAAGCGTCTGCCTTTGGCTCAGGTCATGATCCCAGGGTCCTGGGATCGAGCCCCGCACTGGGTTCCCTGCTTGGTGGGAAGCCTGCTACTCCCTCCCACTCCCCCTGCTTGTGTTCCCTCTCTCACTGTGTCTCTATCAAATAAATAAACAAAATCTTTAAAAAACAAAAACAAAAAAAGCAGTGCCCATGGCATGACCTCTCCAGGCTCACCCTGATGGGCCCTCCTCCATGTTTCACGTCCCTTTGGTGAAGAGGTCTCCTACAAACATCACCATAAATCTGGGCAGTGCTCAGGGCAGGGACGATTCTCTAAATTTTACAGGGGAGGAAGTGTGGCTCACGTGGGTTAGGTGGTTTGTCTGCGGTCACCTGGGTGTATTTAGTAAGAGGTCTGTGCCCTGTGGCTGACCTGGTGAGAAGCCATGTGGCTCATGTGAGCTGTAGGGGGCCATGGGAGAGATTTTTATTCAATTAATGGACTGATTTGCTCCTAGGATAAAAGCCCTGCTGGGTTTTATCATAGATCTTTGGGTTTTGTTGTGCCAGTAAAGCAAGGCAGGTTCTGGGCGCCCCAGCTTTGGGACCTGACAGCTGAGGATGTAGAGTAGGAGGCAGAAGCAATCCAGGGCTTGTCATGGCGTGGGCTGCGAGCCAACGAGGATGACACATTTCTCTTGGCCTGGCTTGCAGAAGGCGCTGGAGCAGCAGATGGAGAGCCACCGGGAAGCTCACCAGAAGCAGCTGTCCAGACTTCGGGATGAAATCGAGGAGAAGCAGAAAATCATCGATGAGATTCGGGAGTGAGTCGGCCCAGGAGCTCTTGGGACACGGGGGTGGGCATGGCTCTCGGGCCAGCCTGGAAGGACGCGGCTTTGAGCCCAGTTCTGCCCTCCTTGGCCTGCGGGCTCTGTGTCCTGCCCTGTGCCGCGGCAGGCTGGATATGCAGCTTCCGACTTCTGTTCTCCCATCTGGAGCTGAGCCTCTGGGGGCTCTGGTGGGGCAGGTGGCAGGCGGGCGCAGCCACCCTTCCTCATCCCCCGGGAGTCGGGGTCATGTTGGTGACTCAGCTGGGCAGACACATGCCCTCATAGGTGGTGACACTGTTTGTATGAAATTATATATGAAAATATACAACGAACCCCCCTGCATTGGTCCTGACTCAGGGGTTCTGATAGGCTAAAACATACTCCAAAGGAGACAGTCAGCCCCTGTTACCTCCTCACCCAACATGTAAATGCTCCCCGCACAGCCCTGAGCCACCTGGTCACATGCGCACACTTCTCAGGGACCCGTGTCTGTCTTTGTGGACCTGTGGCTTTGCCAGGATGGTGTCACTGCAGCTCGTCTCTGCTGTCACTCCCCTCAGGGCCATACTCCCATCCCGTCACGGCGCCTCAAGAACCCCTGCTCCATAATGACCTCCCCCTCCTCCTCTCTTACCTTCCCGCCTCGCTGTCAAAACAAGGCAGCAAGCTGGCGAGTGCCTTCGCGATCCTCTCCTTGAGGGTTCTTACGTTTTCACACAGCGAGTGCCTTGGCAGTATTTGACCCTGTTTGCAGAATAATGTTTTTAAATGCCCCCAAATAGAAGACGAGGGAAAATGAAGAAAACCAGTTATGTTGAAATACAGTCCCATCCACTGACACCCCCACCCTCATTCCCAAGATCTAGACCGAAGCCTCCCTCCACCCCCATGTTCTGTAGACGGAGAACTGCATTTCTGTATGGGGAGCAAGGCCAGGTTCTGTGAGCTTCTTAGGGTTGCGCTGCTAAGTAGGAATCAAACTGGAGTTAGAGTTTAATTCTCCAGGCTACTGATCCCAATCTCTCTTCGCCATGTGCAAGCTGCTCCCACAGCACATTTGCATTTTGAAAGAGGAGAGTGGTAATGAAGCAAAGTGTAAGTGGTGTGATCTGGGCTCCATGCACACTGTCTACCTAAGGCAAGTCCTTAGCATCGTCTTTGCCCTCCTCCTTTTGGACCACCCCCGTGCTGTTACTCATGTTGTTCTTTCCCCTTCAAGCGTGTCCTGTGTTCTTTATTCTGATTAATCACCCTTGACATGTTCAGCCAGAGGGGAAGGAGGGGAGGGAAGGAACGCGGGAAGGAGGGCGGGTTGGTGAATGAGTTAGTTGATGAGAAGTTTCCTTGGCCTGTGCCTTTCAAACGACTCTGGGTTTTCCTTCAGATGTGTAGAATCTGTTCCTTAACGGACGCACAGGCATGGCCACACAAAAGGTTTTATAAATACTGCATGCAAGTGTTGGCCAAGGGCTCCCAACCAGATGGCAAGTTTCTTTTTTTTTGCCGCAGACCCTGGGCTTTCTTTGTATTTCCTCTTTTTGTACCCCCTCCTTGCAGACTTCACACAGCGGCACTGTCCCTGTGTCGGCCAGGAATTTGGACTTAGGGGATGTTTTCAGGTGATTGGACCAGAGAGGAAGGGAAGGGTGCAATGGCCAGATAAGGTTTCCTGAGTGGGTGCATGCATGCCGTCTGTAGGGCAGACAAAGCAGAATTCTTCTCACTGTGCTCTCTTTCTCTGTTTTAAAATATCAGCCCTTTTCCTAGCTCATTATTTTCCCCCAAAGCTCTTGCACAAGCCAACTATAAATATATTCTCAAAGCCTTATGTTTCATGCCTCTGAGATGTTCCCAGAAATTAGTTTTCACTTGGGCAGGGAGGAAGCTGTGAGGTTGTTCTCTGATCGCTCAGAATCCTCCAGAATTGCCGCCTTTATTGCACAGAACTAATGGGGTTGGAACAGAACCATGTCTTTAGCTGGGTGCCTCAGAATTTCAGACTCATGTGCAATGTATTGCTTTTCCCCCTCCATTTCAGTTTGAATCAGAAACTGCAACTGGAACAGGAGAAGCTCAGTTCTGATTATAACAAGCTGAAAGTGGAGGACCAAGAAAGGGAAATGAAACTGGAAAAGCTCTTGTGAGTGCACGTTAAATATTTCCTCTGTTTTCTCTCCTCCCGCTGAGTCTTAGGGAAGTCTACTCTCATGACTCCGATTCCTCAATATTCTGGTTAGGTTGGGCCTATGTAACAATAGTGCCCACTCGTGTGAGGTGGTTGGTACTGTTGACATATCCATAGGTGCAGGTGGTATCTGGAATTCTCTGATGTCCTTTGGGTTCATGATTCCTTTTTGTTTTTTAGATTGCTCAATGATAAACGGGAACAAGCCAGAGAGGACCTCAAAGGGCTGGAGGAGACGGTGGTACGTCAGCATGTTTCCCAACTCGTTTCAGTCCCAAAGACCCAATTAATTTGTGATTTGTTGAATTTGTGTATTCTGAAACTTGTTCTGTGCCCATCGTTATCACATACCATTTTAGACAAAATATTTAGGCCAATACCGTATATTTAGACATTAAGACAAATACAGACATTTAGATAAAATGTCTTGTGGAAAAGTGAGGATTGTAGAATTTATTCCCCAGCTCTGGATACCATGATTGTCTGTCCATCCATCCATCCATCCATCCTTGCCTCCATGCTTAGTGCTGTAACTAGAGGCCCTGAGCGAGAATTAAACTGACCTGAAAATCAGTGCCTGAATCATTACAGACTTTGCACATTGTGACTTATTTCCATTTAACATGCAGGAGCACCTACTAAGGGCTGGTATTCTTCTAGGTGCTTGGGTTGTATCAGTAAATCACAAAGATAAGATCCTGGCCCTTTTAAGCATGCCTTCAGCTGTGGGTGGGGAGACAGACGTGAACATTAGGAAGGAAATCATGACCTCCATTACATGGTTATAGAAAGTGCAAAGGTCCCACAAGGTGGTGACATTTGAGCAGGGACTTGAAGCAGGTGAAAGACTAAGCCATGGGAATGTCGGGGGAGGGGCCTTCCAAGCAGAGGCAATAGCTTATGCCAAGGCCCTGAGGTGAGCCTGGAGTTGGCATGTTGGAGAATAGCAGGAAAGTCAATGATGCAGCGAGGAGACAAGAGGTAGGCACAGAAGGGTCAAGGCAAGAGCAGTTGTAGGCCAGGTAGGGCCTTGAGGCCTGCAGGTTTTGGGGCACAAGAGTGACAGATCAGAAAGTCTCGTCATTTGAGATCCTGGTTGGTTTTCTCCATCCTGCATCTGAATTCATGAGGTTTGTCTGCTCTGGTTGACTTCTGTTTCAGCTGCTCTGAGGGTGAGGGCTCTTGAGAGCTCTGCAAAGTGCCACACAGCCTGTGTTTAAAGACAGACTGTCCCAACAAAACCTCTTAATTTGGTGAAAGTATGTCAGGTCACTTCATATGATAAAACAATAGAGAGACTGTTGTTGGGATGTGGTCATACATTTTTTTTTTAAAAGATTTATTTATTTGAGAGAGAGTGAAAGCACGCGTACACAAGTAGGGGTAGGGGCAGAGGGAGAGAGAATCCTCAAGCAGACTCTGTGCCAAGTGTGGAGCCCCACATGGGGCTCAATTTCAGAGTCCCGAGATCATGACCTGAGCTGAATTCAAGAGCCAGCTGCTTAACCGACTGAGCCTCTTAGGCGGCCCTGATACAGTCATATATTTTAATTCCATTTGTGTCGTGTGAATTTATGTGGGGCTGCCTCCCAAGAACCTGGTGACCCCAGGCTGTTGGCAAATTGTTACTCAGGGCTGGACCTGATTGTGCACTCTGTTCCTGGGCTGTTGTTAGTTGTCCCTCAAAGCCAGGTGAAGGGACAGAGGGCACCATCCACTCAGAACAGAAGTAAGATGACTGTGGCTCAAAGTGTTTTGGGCCATTCCAACATGGCAGAGAAGATGGTGGATGGATGGCTGGCTCTAGGGGAAACCAGATGAAGCCCTAACGTTGTCTCATCTATGTCTGTTTTACCGGAGAAGTGATACTCACAGTTACAGATGATTCTAAAAATTCAGAAAAATATTGAAATTTAAAATGTTACTGTATCCCACTAGCCAGAGATAAGTGACATTTCAGTACCTTCCACCCATGAACTACCTTCACCCAACATCCCTGGCCCTTTCCCACCTGGTGCATACTCACCCATAGGGGACAGACCCACTGACACGCTGGCTCCCTTCCTCTCCTGCTCTCAAGCTCACCACTGGCACATATCGCTCACATCCACATTTGAAACTCCAAATCCGATCCCCACAGCCTGTGTCATTTTAGACTTGGATGTTTTCACTCAACCTGCTTTTGGAATCCACCCCAAGCTGTAAATGTTCTTCAGCAACAGGCTCGCTGCCCTCGGCTGACCTTATTTGAACTCTCCATAGCTCAAGGCCTCTTCTGGCTTCTTGGGTATTTGGGTGGGACGGCGTGGGTGGGAGGGAGGGTGGAACCTGCCGTGCAGGGGTTGGAGTCTGAAGCCCACTGCAGGGGTTGATGTTGGAAGATGTGGAGGGTGTCTTGGGGCCCGAGGCAGCCATCTTGCTTTAACAGGACACTTGGGACTCCAGGGCTGGACCTCTCCTGCTATGTTAATGGGCCTTGTGTTTTCACCTCTCTGGGCTCACCTTTGCTGTCCCCTCTCACAGGAAGCTGAGTCCGGAGCATTTACACAGAGGGCAGTGGCCTGTGACAGGGAACATTTCAGGGAAGTGAGTCAGATGTGGTGAAGAAATGATGATATCGTGGAGGAAAATTCATTGCTGTGGGGAGCCAAATGCTAGCTACCTAAGCTTAAATGTGCAATTTGCAAATTGTTTTAAAGGTTTTTAACCACCCCTCCTGTACTGCTGAATTCACCTAAGAACAAACAAAAATGAGATAAAAATGCCAAACTCAGGACTCCATAGTATTTGGTATTTAGGCCCGGAGGAGATGCCTGGCCCTTTGACAAGGGACCCCTGTCTTATCTTCTCATTTCCCTTTGGTGTGGTGGCTTTTTTATGGAAAATGTTTACTATGGTTACAGTTGAATAAAATCCCTGAGAGAGAGAATTCAGAGCAGCGGCTTGAGGTGGGTGGGCGAGTGCTGAGATCCTTGGGCAGGGGCTGGAACAGCATGTCTGTGTAAATGTGAGCAAGGAGCCTTACCCCTGCCCCTGCCCTGGAAGGCGGCTGGGCCTTGCACAGGTGTGATGTGCACTGTGTTCATAGTAGGCCTGTTTGGCTTCCTGCACAAAGTCATTTGCCTCACCTGAGGAAGCAGTTGACTTTAGGTGCTTCTTATTTCAACACAGAATTGCAGACTTGGACCCAGTAACAAGACTTAAATTAACATAGAAGCTTAGTGTTTCCATGGCTGTAGAGCCTGTTTTATTCCTTGTGAGCACGGGCGAGCCGCATCCCTTGACATTGTGTTAAGAGTAGGTCAACTAAGACAAATTGGGAAGTTCAGATGCAAGTTTATCTCCTCCCTCATGGGGAGATATCTTGGAAGGAACTAATTGTATCTCCAGTAGTAAGAACATGGAGTCTTGAATGAGAGGAACTATTTTGGTTTTCTGATCTTGTTAACAAAGGTCACCAGGTTCGATACAAAGCCTTGTCTTTGCAGTCTAATTCTTAAGGGTTTGGTTGTAGAAAATAACTCAAAATGAAGAAAAAAAAAATGCCCCTAAGAAGTTGATTACAGTGTAACAGCATTATGACAACAAAGGGAAACAACAAAACCTACCGAAGAAATGACTGTCAAATATGGTGCATCAATAAGTTAATACTAGCTAATGTTTACTGAGCACTTACAATGTGCCAGAAACTATTGTAAGAGTTTTATAACGATTATCACATTTAATCTCAACGACTGTGAGGCAACTACTAAATTTATTCTCTTACAAATAAGAGAGCTGTGGCACAGGAAGGCAAGGTAGGTTGCCCAGGGTTACGTGGGTAGAAGGCCCACTACCTACCTCATCCATGAGCTAGAGTGACGTCAAGCCAGTGCACACGGCCCAGGGCCAGAAGTGGGGCGTGGAGATACGAAAAATGTTGGTCTGCTACGATGGGAGAGATTGTGGGTAACTTTCCATTGAGACTTGCAGGCCTTTTGTGCAATGCGTACGTGATAAATTAGAGGAAAAAAAGAATCCATCCTGATATAACAGCCAACTAGGAATTTTTGTGAGAACTTTTGTAGTTTTTTTGTGAGAAATTTTTGGGTTAACTTTTGTAGTTGAGGGGAGAGGAAAAGTTCTATTTAGAACACCACTAACAAGTAGGCTCTGTTCCATTCTAGTTCATGGTTTGAGCTCCCAGTCTCTGCCCCTGGGGATAGTCTTGAGACAGATGGAGGGGGTGGACATATGTGGTGGGAAAGTGTGGGAGCCCTGTGGCCTGGATGGCAGGCTCGCAGAGCAGGTGGGATCCGTCTGGGTCGATGGGGCCACCAGACGGTCTGGCGCCATTGTGTCCTGAATTCAAGGTGTCTCCCCCACTTTAGTGACATTTTCACTATCTTCCCTTCCAGTCTCGGGAACTGCAGACTCTGCATAACCTCCGGAAACTCTTTGTCCAGGATCTGACTGCCCGGGTTAAAAAGGTGAGTTCTATTTTCTGTGACCAGGACTGAGAAGAAAATATGGACAGAAAGAATCATTTTCCATTGAAATATCACTTTCTTAAACTGGGGCTGGTTGTGCTTAAAAATTAATTACTTCATGCCAGAAAATGTATTCAAAGAATGTACTGGAGGCAAAAAAAAAAAAAAGAGAGAGAGAGAGAAAAAAGTACTTGGGAATATTTTTCCATCTGATTTTTTCTTCTTAGTAAAAGGAAGTTATAATCCTTTCCCTGGCCTTTCATTTCAAATGAGCACACACCTATCTAGCTGCAGTGTGAGAACTGATGTGTGTGATGGTGGGAAAATCCAGGGGATCCTGTCAGGCAGTGCTGCTCTGACGTTTGGTGAGCAGTGCCAGAAACCCGGAGAAATCAGAGGCAGGAGCCTCCTGTTTGCCTGTGGGGGGCCGTCAGAGGCTGGGTCAGAGCGCATGAAGAGCTTTAACCTGTGTCTCATTTGCTCTTCCTGGCAACCGTGTACGTGGTCCTTACTGTTCGGTTCTGTCTTAGTGGAGACAGGCTCAGAGGTTAAGTAACCTGCCCAAGGTCACACAGCTGGAAGAGCTGGAGACAGACTAGAATCCAGGGCGTGTGTCTTCTGACTCTGGGCTTCGTGGATGCTCGTGCCTTCCACAGGGATCTTGGGGAGTCACCGTGTGGTGAATCCCAGAGCAGCGTGCAGAAAAGTTTCAGGAAGGAAGCAGAGGTGGGAACAGCAGGGGACTGCTCTTTTAAATATGTTTAAGTGTGATAGAGGAGGGGCAATGCGCCGTAGCCAGCGGTGTGGTAGGATGGAAGGAAGGTGTATTTAAAAGTACACACGTGTGTGCGCACGCACGTGTGTGTGAAAGAGCTAAGGGAAAGGGGTGAAACGTATATAACAAAAGAGGAGGGGCTGATGGGGTCCGACCTGCATGGACGGAAGTAACAGCTTGGTTGGGTATGTCAGGCTTGGCAAGGGGAGGGGATAAAATTTCCCGGAGGGCAGTAGTGGAGAGTGGAGATGGAGACATTCACAGGACAATATGTAATTGTGGAAAGGTGCATCCAACTACTTTGATCTTCTCGGTTAATGTGGAGGTTCTGTCCTTGATGGAGAGGGCAGGAAGACAATGGAGAGGCCCCACAGCCTAGAGAAGGCTCAGGCAGCCGGGGGGGTGGGGGGGACATTTGTCAGGGATGAGTGAAAGCATTGCTGAGCAGTGCTGAAATCATGCTGAGTGTCCAACTGAAGGTCAGAGCATGAATTTGCCGTGACCCTGACAGAATGGTTCCAGGCCAGGAAATGAAAATAAAGGAAGGTGGAGAAGGATAGGTGAGGTTAAGGCCTGAATGGCAGCGGTGGGACAGGCAGGTAGTGAGAACAGTCATCAAAATAGAAATGACCACCAGACTCGGACCAGGTAGGAGGGAGAGGCGAGAGCAGAGGGGTTAGAGAGGGAGACTGCACAGGTAATGGCAAGAACTGGAAATGCTCAGTCAGAGGGAGGAGGGGGTCCAAGGGAGCTAAGATTGGGCTTCCCTGATTTCAGGATATAAAACTCTTGAGTAAGGACCTACTGGTAGACCAGTGGCTTTCAGAATGTGGTTATCTGGCCAGCAGCTTTGGCATCACTGGGGTGCTCACTAGACATGCACATTCTCAGGACCCCCCCGCCCCGGTCCACTGAAGCAGAGACTGGGGGGGTGGAGCCCAGCAATCCGAGTTTTAACAAACCCTCCTCTGGGCAAAGTTTGAGAACCCCAGATGTAGGCAGAAGACACACGGGTTTGAGATCTGCATGCACCCGTCTCCTCTCAGGAGAAGGAGGGAAGGGCACCTGGGTGTCTCAGTGGGTTAAGCTTCTGCCTTCGGCTCAGGTCATGATCTCAGGGTCCTGGGATCGAGTTCCGCATCGGGCTCTCTGCTTGGCAGGGAGCCTGCTTCCTCCTCTCTCTCTGCTTGCCTCTCTGTCTACTTGTGATCTCGCTCTGTCAAATAAATAAATAAAATCTTTAAAAAATTAAAAAAAAAAAGAATAAGGAGAGAAGATGATCTTCTCTGTAATCAGATGCAGCACATTCTGAGCTCTAGGATATTTGCACATGTGTTTTCTCAGTTGACCTCCTGGTCCAGGAGGGTACTTTTTGTCCATCTCAAGATCTAATGAATTTCAAGAGTTTATCCACCAGCAGCACTCAGAAGCTGTGACTAATTGAGATGGATTCATTAACTAATTTCATGGGATTGGAAGCTGAAGGGACAAGCAACGGCCACTGAGACTTCCCGTTAGGACCATAGGCACTTGCCCAACAGCTTGGTGACTTAGCTTAGTTGGGATGTTTGAAATCAGGCTTAGATCTTGGGTTTATGTTTTCACGCTGGTTCTTCTTGAGTTTTGGAACAGTTCCTTTTGAAAAGGAAAGTCTATTTATCCACCTGCAAGGGAGAGGTGAATTTCACAGAGAGAACTAATCTATATCTTTCAAAGGAAGATTGGGAGTTTTGTTTTGTTTTGTTTTCAATTCTCTATAATGCTCAGAAAACCCTTGACATCAACCAAACGAATTCACTGGCAAGGTCACTAAGTCTCAACTTTTAGAACCTCTCTTTATTTCCACTTTCAGAATAACCATTCGTGGGATTGGGGGTAGTGGTTTTTTTTTTTTTATTTATATATTTGACTGACAGAGATCACAGGCAGGCAGAGAGGCAGGCAGAGAGAGGAAGGGAAGCAGGCTCCCTGCTGAGCAGAGAGCCTGATGTGGGGCTCGATCCCAGGACCCTGGGACCATGACCTGAGCCGAAGGCAGAGGCTTTAACCTGCTGAGCCACCCAGGCGCCCCAGGGGGTAGTGGTTTTTTATAAAGAAGAACTAGAATGTGGTCCAGTTTATACTGGGCTGGGGCCGGGGAGAGCCTGCAGGCCCACTGACCCCTTGTGTTGTTGCAGAGCGTGGAGCTGGACAGCGATGACGGAGGCGGCAGTGCTGCCCAGAAGCAAAAAATTTCCTTCCTGGAGAATAACCTGGAGCAGCTCACGAAGGTTCACAAACAGGTAGGAGAGTTGTGCCAGCTTCCTGTGTTTCCCCTACTGTGCCGGGAAGAAACCCCACCCACTATATCTAGCCACAGTTCCAGGAGAAGGCTCTATATCACCAGGGGTGCCAGACGGGTCCTCGGAGTCCTTGCATTAGTCTTTAGTGACTTCCCTTACATATAAAAGTCTTTTATCTAAGCCAGATGGAAGCAATGGAGTTTGAGCTCCAGGTTTTGGGAAGTGGGGTGTTCAGAACCCTGCCTTATCATCCTGCCTCCAGTCCCAGCACTGGACCCACAGGCTGCACAGAAGGCAAAGTGAATTCCACCGAGCCGGTTCAGGCCCCTTGTTTTTGCAGCTGATGAAACAGGCTGAGAGAGGAAGTGATCTGCTTTATTTTCTCTCTGCTCTGTTGCCCTATTTCCTGGGCACCCTCTTCGGTTCTTATGAGGCTCTGGAGTTTATCGAGAGGGACAGCAAAGTGCATGGCCAAATCTACTGGCAGTCGAGGCAGTTGTTTGTCTCCTTTCTGTATAAATACTGGAATGCTCATGTTTCCCCTAAATCCTAAAGATTTGGAATGTGATAAAAATGGTCCCACTTGTTGGACTGCATGGCTAAGGGGATGCTCTCTCTTGGGCCTATGTCCTTCAGCATTACCTAGGATGGCATTTTTCCTCAAAGGGAGGATGACAGATTCAATATGGTTGAAGTCATTCAAGCAAATTATTGTAGTCTGTAGTCTGAGTCACTAATGTGAAATAGGGCTCTGAAATTCATTAATTATTTTATTTGTGAATTCAGTGAATGTTTTAATAACCATTAAAAACCTGCTCTCTGGGGGCGCCTGGGTGGCTCAGTGGGTTAAGCCTCTGCCTTCGGCTCAGGTCATGTTCCCAGGGTCCTGGGATCGAGCCCCGCCTCGGGCTCTCTGCTCAGCGGGGAGCCTGCTTCCTCCTCTCTCTCTCTCTCTCTGCCTGCCTCTCTGCCTACCTGTGATCTCTGCCTGTCAAATAAATAAATAAAAAATCTTAAAAAAAAAAAAACCAAAAGACCTGCTCTCTGCCAGGCGCTGGAGCTGGTAAAGAAAGCAGGTGTGGCCTCGGGACAGGTAACGGTCATACGGCACTTTCCGATATTCAGAACTTTTTCTGGATCCACAGGGTTTGCACAATGGTCTTCTTACATACTCTCCGTTTTTATAGGTGAGAAACCTGGTATGTCTAGGGGTTGGATGACTTACCAAGTCAGATGTCAGGAAATAATAGAGCTGACTCTTGAGCCTTTTTTTAAATCTTTTTTAACCCAGTGCAAGCCTGTTGCTTCTTTTTCTTTCTTTCTTTCTTTCTTTTTTAATTTTTAAAAAAATTTCCTTCATTTTATTTTTATTTTTTTAATTTGTATTTGTTTTTAATTCCATAATTAACATACAGTGCTGTGTTATTTTCGGAGGTACAATGTATCAGTTCAGCAATCCTGTATATTACTTAGTGCTCATTACCATGAGTGTCCCCTTAATCTCCTTCGCCTCTTTCACCCATCCTCCCTCACCCCTCCTCTGGCAACCACCAGTCTGCAGCCAGACCACCCTGAACGTGCCCAGTCTCACCTGTCGCTTCTTAACTGAGGGTCTTAAGTAATAAGAGAACGAGCAATGTCCCAGAGTCACCTGTGAGCCTCTGGATATGTTGCAGAGTGGGTCCAAACCACATGCTGGTGGAGACAGCGCGTCCTGCAGGGGAGGAGGCCTGCAGAGAGCTCTAGAACATGCCCACCCTGTACCCAGGGCTTCTGAACCTGCCTAGCATCACTCAACGGGCACGTGGACGTCCCGAGCTGACCTAGCGAGGCTGCTTGGCTGGCCGTCCTCCTATGGCTGTCTGCCCCTCCTGCCGCCCCCCCCCATGCCCCCCCTCCCGCCATAAGTCGCCCCCGTCCGCTCTCCCCGCAGCTGGTCCGAGACAACGCAGACCTGCGCTGCGAGCTGCCCAAGCTGGAGAAGCGGTTGCGCGCCACGGCGGAGCGCGTGAAGGCCCTGGAGAGCGCGCTGAAGGAGGCCAAGGAGAACGCCATGCGGGACCGCAAGCGCTACCAGCAGGAGGTGGATCGCATCAAGGAGGCCGTGCGGGCCAAGAACATGGCCAGGAGGGCCCACTCGGCGCAGATCGGTATGTGTGCCCCTGCCCTACCGCCCTGGCGGAAGGCAGGGCTCTGCTGGCCGGAAGCACTGGTGTTCTGGAACATCTGCCAGGCTGTACTCAGGCCTGCAGCAGCTGGGGTGGCTGGTGCCTCCAGGCCCCCTGCGCTCCTCCTGGGAGAATGGCAGTGTCAGGCCCCTGCTCCCTCATCGCGAGAGGCTGCAGCGCACAGTGTGGCCCTCAGAGCTGCTGCGCTGAGCAGAGAAGGTGGCCAGCTGAGGCTGTCAGCGAAAGGTATTTGGCTGCTTCTCAGCAACGCCCAAAGGCCCCTTCTGTTCTGTACCAGGCAGAATGGGAAGGGGCGGGGGTGTAGCCAGAAGCCTCAGGGAGAGCCACTTGCAAGGGCTCGTTTGGAAGCACCTTAGGAAGAGTGAGGTGGCCCCCGTGAGCAGGGTGTGGCTCCCAGCCGGGAAGGGGGCCTGGACATCCACCCCTGCCAAACCTGGATTTGGGCGTTGTGCTCCTGCTGACAACCGGGGTGTAGCTGCTAAGTCTTAGTTCCCAGGGTGGAGCCACAGGTGGCAAAGGGATTTAGGAATGTTCTCTAAAGAGCTTTTTTTTTTTTTTTTTTTTTTAACTGAAATGCTTCCAATAACGTGATATTATTTCCCATCAGATAATGCTATGCAGATGTTTTGTAAACCAACAACTTCGTGTTTCTGGTTTTTAGATCATACCTTAGATTAATGTTTCATTGCATTTATCGGATTTCGTGCTCTTTGTAAATCCAGAAACTATGGAGCTTCTTCCCAGAAAGTGCATCATAGGGAGAAATCTGCACCCAGTTTCAGGGGCTACGTAGATGCCGTTGGAACCCAAGTGTTACCTGCCTTAGATAAAACTGAAAGTCCTTCTAATTTTCCTCAGCCAGAGTTAAAGGAATTGATATGTAAGTTCTGCCTGCGCCCTAACCATTGGGTGCCCTGGTTTAGCGAGCTCTACTGTCAGGAGAGCAGACATCGTGCTTTCAGAAAGGTTTTTTTTTTTTTTTTTTTACCTAATCACAAATTTATTTGTTTTTTAAAGGGGAAGGACAGCAAGGAAAAAAAGCCTCATGGCCGAAATCAGAAATCACAAGATGCATTCATCATGTGCCCAAATGACACTCAGTGGCTACAGGAAGTCACATGCTTAGTGGGCTCTTTGAGGGAGTAAGTCAGGGCGTTTCCAGGACATGATTTCAGGAGAATCAGACACACAGGCTAGTCACAAAAGTCGCTTAGTTGTCCGAGTACCCTGAGCCCATGACTTCGAGACTCAGCAGCTTCATGCTTCACAGCACCGACCCTGGGGACGCTGGGCGGAGCCCTCGTGGGCCGGGAGGGCACCTGCGGGGGGGTGCCTCCGAACCAGCCGCTGCCACCGCCGCCGCCGCTGGGGAAGGGGGGTAGTGGGCCAGGCCTGAAGGGCACTGGGGGCACCCCCGAGTGGGGTCCGGAGGAGGGCACGTTGGGTGCGGGCCCCCGGCCAGATGCAGGCCGGGCGAGAGGAGCGCTGGGCGTTGGCCGCCTCTGGGTGGTGGGACTCGGAGGTGGGGGGACCTTTGATGAGAATGGTAATGATAAAAACTGTGTGTCTTGGTTTTCACACGTGACCCGTGGTCCTGTGGGTGTGGCCATTTACGCCCATCTGAACTCGCTGTCCTTTCTGTCGGATACAGCCAAGCCCATCCGCCCTGGACACTACCCAGCATCATCTCCGACAGCTGTCCACGCCATCCGAGGGGGAGGAGGTGGCTCTTCAAACTCCGCTCACTACCAGAAATAAATATGAGTGAGTCCCTGGTGTCCTGGTGGTTTCTGTCTCGGGCAGCCCCGGGGTGGATCCCTGCCCCTGCCTGGTTCTCAGCCTCTGGCATGTGCCCCTGCGAGAGTGAACAGTTTCGCTCTCCTGGAACGGGTGCCTGGGGGGTAGCTTGCTTACCTCAACTCCGAGAAGAGCCTCCAGGTCTTCTCACTAGGGCCAGCTGGTGCTGGGGACCCTCCCAGGGGATGGAGGAGGGTGTGGCGGATGACTCACTGGAGCTTTCTTTTGTCTGTGGGACTTCCCTGTGCAGCTGGCATCCAGAAGGGCATTACCTGTTTGTCAACTGCTTTTGCCCAGAGCAGACAGATGTGGGTGGTTGCTTTAAGTTTTAGGAACTGAATATAAAGAAAGGGCCAGATAGAGAAAGTCATGTTTTTATAATTGCTCTCGGAACTCAACAATTTAAGAATGGTGCTAATTTGTATCTAGGTAGGTCAGGACTACCTTTTTTTATTTGAGATGATGGTCTATAAATATTCTTCCTGCAATCCACATGCGTGGGATTGTTCTACCAGCAAACAAACACAAAAAGTGATACACTTTAGAAAAGAGAAGGAGAGACCATGAACGGTCCTTTTGTACTTGAGGTGGAGAAAAGAGGTTACTAGGGTTGGGTGGGGCAGACAAACAACTAGGTGGCCAGAAAACTGTCTAGGAAAACTCCGACTTACAACCAGTAACCTGTGGATGGGAGGGGGTAGCTGCAAATGTTGTCCTCGGACTCTGAGCCCTCACTAAGGAAGCAAGCTTGCAAGACAGGCACGCTGGCATGGCCCGGCCACCATGGTCATGGCCAACTCCGCAGAGCACTGAGTCCTCTCCTGTCCTTTCCGATCAAGGTAAGGGACATGTAGGTGAGGGTCAGGAGCCCTCTCTCGGGGGACACGACAACACTGCTAAGGCTCACGCAAAAGCTGCCAAGGAGCAAGCTTGGCGGCCGCCCCCAGACAGCTCTCTCCGGCGCTGCCCCAGGCAGCATGCCAAGGAGCAGGACAGGCACTGGTCAGATCGGGGAACAGGAGGGAAGGCCGGGGCAGCCCGGGGGTGGACGGCATGTCCACCACCATCTGCCATATTCTAAAAGGGTGGATGGGAAGTTGTCGCAGCAGTGGGCCACCCCATTCAGATCTGATCACTTTCCATTACAGATAAAATAATTTGGATGTTATAAAATTGCTTTTGACGGCATGTTGTTGGTGTTGGGGCTGGCCCTCGAAGGGAGTTGTATGCTCCTTTGAGGCAGCATAGGATAGAAACCTAAAGCGCTGGTTCTTGAACTCGGGTGGCCATCAGTATTCCCTGGCACCCAATACCTAGGCTTCGTGAAGCCGCTTTGGGCCTGAGTCTTTGTGTGTTTACTGAGCACCACAGGCGATGTCATTAGCCACCAAAGTTCGAGGACTCCTGTCCTGAAGGAACTGTGGCATCTCTAGGGTGGAAGTGAATTTCTCTGTCATGCGAAGGAAACCTCAGGGTGGTCCTGTCCTCAGCAAGTACCTTCCTTCCTCAAGGTCACCTTAGTGGCTTCTGTTCTAGTTCTCATGCCTACACACCGTGGTTAACAAGCAGAGAGGAAGCCGGGAAGAGGCAAAAGCCCCTTCTCAGATGAATCCGCTTCCTTTCATGGCCTTCCTGAGGTCCATGTAGTGTGGATGCCTGCGTCCCTCTGGCCAGATTGGAGGCACGTGGCCAGGTCCAGCTGTGAGGGGGGCTGGAAAGCAGCAGCTTTGAGCTAGGCACATCACCACGTAAGAATAGTGTTCTTTATTTTTAAATTTTTTTTTTTAAGATTTTATTTATTTGAGAGAACTAGAAGAGGCAGAGGCAGAGAGAGCTGGAGAGGCAGGGTCCCCTCTGAGCAGGGATCCTGATGTGGGGGTCAATCCCAGGACCCTCAAATCATGACCTGAGCCGAAGGCAGACGCTTCACTGAATGAGCCACCCCGGTGCCCAAGAGTGCTACTGTTCCTTAGCTGAGGACAAGGCGATTGGTGCTGGGTGGGCAGCCAGAGCCTGTGCTAACAGAGCCCCTACTACACAGCAGAGCCACGCTCATGCAGTACCTACCTAACCTCCTTCGGTGTAAGCGTGCAGCGAGGTGGCCATGCTGGGCTCCCGGCAGGCTCTCCATAAGTACACAGGCTCAGGGATTCTGGGGTCCAGAGACTGTGCAGCACACAGCCACTTCCCTCATGCAGTCCCATAAGGGTCTGTCGGACCCACGTTTTGCATAAGCTTTATACAACAAAATGTTCCCTTCTCACACTTGAGCTGGAGAGGCAGTAGGTCTGGTGAGACTTCTTAGACCTTAAGGCTAATAGAACCACCTTCACCCATCCTGGTGATCCATTGCTTTCTTGAACTTGAGGTGGTATAAGGGAATTTGATTGTTTTCTCTGCAGCTGGAGCCCCCTTGAGCCACTCTCCCTATACATCCAACTTCTGTAGCTGGGTGCATTCTCCGCATCACAAAACAGAGAGGCGCCTTTCTGGTAATCAGGATGGCAGTGTGGGCGAGGAACCTGGCTTTAGAAGGGAGACGGTCACGGTGTTAGCTAGGTCTTCTGCTCTCCCGAAGTTACTTACCCTTAGATTCGCTTCTTCATCCGTGAAATGGGGAGAATCCTTTCCCTGGATCACTGGTTTTGAAATGAGGACTAATTGAGGTCATACCTCTGAGTTGCTTGGCATCTAGCAGGTGCACCATAAAACCGTTGTTGCCGTAGAGAGCAGCGGAGTGCTGCGTGGCCCGCAGTAGGTGGTGGATGAATGTTGGCTTATGGTCTCCTTTAATTCACATAGTCGTTGCAACATAGTTTTTAGTCCCTCACCCTAAATTCTCATCACTGAGTGGGGAAGGCCCATGACTGAGTATCCTGTTTGATGCTAAGACCAGATATAAGGTGTTTCAAAGATATTATCATTTATTTGTCTAAAAGTTATGAAAAAGACTTTTACGAAAAAGACTGGGGAGAAAAAAAGGATAATAGCCAATGAATTAGGAAATTATCATTGAAAGAGAGAAAATGCAAAATCATTTTTAAAAAAATAATTGGAGGTGCATCTGGGTGGCTCAGTCAGTTAAGCGTCTGCCTTCAGCTCAAGTCATGATCCCAGGACTCTGTGATCATGACCTGAGCTGAAGGTAGAGGCTTTAACCCACTGAACCACCCAGGCGCCCCTATAAATAAAACCTTAAAAAAAAAAGAAAGAAAGGAAGGAGGGAGGGAGGGAGGGAGGGAGAGAGAGAGAAAGAAAGAAAGATAGATAGATAACTGGAAATGTGGGATTCATTGCTTAGTTGGGATCAAAACCTTTTGAGGTGATCTGTCCTGGTCTTTGGGATGCTCACTCTGAAGTGTGTCTGTTCTAGGGAGAAATGATCTCAGCTGCCAGCTCTTCCCAGCCCTCTTACTGAAGCCAGAGCAGCATATTTGTACTTGGGCAGCGTCTGGATATCTCTGGGGTTTCTTTCTGCTTCATTTCAGGTTTCAAGGAATATAGTCACAATGAGTATTTTGGTTTATGCTCAAAGTTTCAGAGTGACTGAAAATGCCGACGTGGAGAAATCAGAACTCAGGATACTGCTTCCTATCTCAACTAGTTCAAATTTAGGGGGGCTGCCAGAGGGAGGGGAAATCTTTTTCAAGCTGCAGAGCTGGGCATGGAACAGTCCAGTACAGCAAAGTATGGCCATGGGATAGGAGACTGGCTGACCGTGGGTTCCAGCCCTGGCCTTGGCTGTACTGCTTTGTGATGTTGGGCAAGTTGGCTGCATTTCTTCAGCCTCAGTTTCATCATCTGCAAAATGGGGTCAGGCACAGAGAGCCTGCTCTGTCCTTAGTTTAACAACGAATGAGACAAAGGCTCTGTTCTTGTGCAGTAATTCTCTTTTTGCAGGGAGGCAGACAGCAAATAACAAGAGAACTTCGAATAGTGGTATGGTTCTGAGGAAAATAAGAACAGATTAATGTGATGGAGACAGGGAATAACATTTAGAGGGGCTGGCATTTGAGCTGAGCACTGAATGATGACAAGTACCAGCCACGTAGTAACCGAAGAGTAGCACACTGGCTGCAAGGTGGGGATGGCTAGTATGTTTGAGGAATCAGGAAGGCTGATGGGGCCAGAGCCCAGAGAACACAGAGACCTTCATAATTGGGGTTGTCAGAGGAGGGAAAGACGGGCCAGATAGATGAGGCCTTTGAGGCCAGGCCACCAGCATAGAGTGCAATCTGAGTGTGTGGGGCCGGGGGAGCTCTGGCCCTGGGAGTGGTGGGACCTGGTTCATGACTGGGAAAGACCACCCTGTGCTGGACCCCATGGAAAGGGTGGGGTGCATGAGAGTCAGAGAAGGGGCTCCCCTAGAGGATCTTGCGGGGAGATTGATAATGTGGGAAATGGGAGAATTGCATGTAGGGGGTACTGGCCACCTGAGCGGAGCTGCAATCTGGAACATAAGCAGAGGTGATGGGAAGGCAGAGGAGGAAGGACCACTGCTGGCAGGTGGTAGATGGGGTTGCAGCCTGGAGAACAGATAAGGTGTGAAATAGACCTCTGAGGCAGGGCTGAGTGCTTATTCATGGCCCCACATTTAATGCAGACATCATTTAAATATCTCCCTGGTTCTGCGGGCCCTGGACTCGGACCTCCTTTCCTGGCGGTCCTTTGACAAGCCAGTGGGTGTTTGTTCAAATATGTCCACCAGATGTCGCCAGTGGGGCACTGCTGGAACTTCGCTAAAAGGCTTTGTGGAAAAAGGGTCTTTTGACTCTCCTATGTTTAGACCATTATTTCTCAGATTTGAATATAAGCAGAGTACTTTTAAGGGGATAAAGTTCTCATATTACCCAGAGGTTTTTATTATTATAATTAGGTATTTGTAAATTTACAATAGTGTATACTTACAGATCTTAAACAACTACCAAGTCCAAAACAAATTTAGAAGTTAGATTGAAATGAACCAT